CAAGTGTGCTGCTTACGACGTCCAATCTGGAGATAATGCAAAAACTGAGAAACACTAATATTATGGTTATATGAACAAAAGAGCTTGGTACGTAAATTTTCGGCAGATACACGTGATAGTCAAAACTTAAAAACCCATGACAACTTCGTTCTCTATCTATATCCATGTCTTGTCTGCAACAGGTAGATATCTTTCTGATATACAAAAAAGGAAGTGTACATTAAAAAGAAGAACAAGTAGATGGCCTGTTGCTATCAAGTGCCAAGTAACAGAAACAACCATGCGAAAGTCGGAACCTAACTTCCCAAGTTACTCGATTTTATCCTAATGAGTCTGGTCACCTTTCTGACTCTTCTCTTCTACGAGACTTTAATTATTGAAAAAAGACACCTCATATAAAATTACTGGCTCCGTCACCGATCATACCATCCTTTAGCATTTCCCAAATTTCCCTCCATAAATAACTAATAATCTTTTGGGCATAGAAAGTTGTAATCTTAAGTGTGTAATTGTAAACCCTATTATTTTAAGAAAGTGACCTCACCCCCAAACCCTCCGCCTATTTTGGATCAAAAGGCCTAATTCATGCTCGCAGTCGCAGAGCGGCATGGACGGGTTGATCGCGACATCAACTTGCTTTGCACCAAAGTTCGTTAACAGCTGGACACTTGTGCTGCGCCTATTCGTCAAAACAAAAGAGCCGGCATTTTTGTTTAGGTTGGAGTTTGGACTGCTTCCTTAAACTATTACTTTTGCATCCACTTATTTTACTTTGTGATTATTTTCTTGAAAAGTTATTTTATTTGGAAAAGACAGCATGTTTAGTGAAGGCCCTTGCCCAATTATTGGATGAACAGTAAGCATAGTTTTAAGGGTCTTTTTTGACAAATTAGTTTTAAGGGTCAAAGGTAATTAATAATAAGCAGTAAATAAAACATCAGATAATGTTTACTTGTTTATATTGTTCTTACTCTGAGTAACTAGTCATATGTAGTACAAAGTATAAGTCATAAAACACAGTGAAAGAAGATTAAAAAAAAAATTGTTGGGATTTTTTAAATTGATTTGAATGGAACATGAAGGGAAGAGAGCAACTGAGTAGTTGAAGGGGTTGTTTCTCCAAAAAAAAAAAAAGAGTAGTTGAAGGGAAATAAAGAGTTGAAAAGAAGCTTATGAAATACCATATTAGTGAAATGAATATATATATATATATATGCATGAAAATTCACTAAGGCTAGTAAAAGGAGCATAAGGAGTTGGGCCCTCACTTCGTAGACTTTGCTCGATCACTTCGACTTTCATGAAATTTAATTATGAAATTTACTCTTTGATTATTTTTTTATGAAATTTAATTAAACGTGGAGATATATTGAGAAGAATGGCATTCGGATAAGTCTAAAGAAAGCCTAAGATAGATTTTCATTGTTAGTAGGTCGGATGTCATTTAAATAAGTCGATCTAAAGAAAATAGTGTAAGTTGGTTAAGTCTAAAATAGACATACGTGACAAATGTTATTTGGTGACATAATATTGTTAATAATGAGGATATGTACATTGTTAGCAAATATTTATGTCCAAGTGAAGATATGTAGAAACTTAGGGGTTTTAATCTAAACCCTAAGCTTAATAACAATCTCACTACATTGAAAGAAGGGCTAATACCACTAGGAAACCCGAACTTTGAACTTTGTGTCATTTGTGTCCTAAAGTATTCGATACGACATTTGTGTCCTAAACTATTTCACCGTTAGAGTTGACCGGCGTTGACCGTTAGTTTTTAACAGAAAATTCAGTAAGCGCTGATGTGGCATCTGAAGTGGATTTTATAATATTAATTTATAATTATTTTCATATAAAAAAATTAAAAAATTACAAAAATCCACTAGGAAGCGTATGATTTTGGGACTTCTTCTTCCTCCTTCTTCCTCCTCGACAGATCCGCCACCAGAAGCGTATGATTTTGGGACTTCTTCTTCCTCCTTCTTCCTCCTCGACAGATCCGCCACCAGAAGCGTATGATTTTGGGACTGTCGCATTACTCGCACCATCGCGGCAGCAATGGAGGAGGCCGTCGCGAACTCGTCATCTTCCGCCGCGGCTCCGATGTGCTAGAGCAATATCTTGAAGAGCCAGCCGCCGGCGCCGTCACCAAAGCCACAGAGCTCTACAAGCGCGACCCAGATGTTCGACGAGAGCTGCAAGTCGAGCAAAGGGACAAGGGGGTGACGGGGCTGAGCACGAGCGTCGGGAAGTCGAGGAAGTGAGGAATATCTATGTTCTCCATCGTTAGATCTACAATGTTCTCTGTCTGAGATTGAATCACAAAAAAAAAAAAAAATTCAATCTTCCCACCTGCTTATTCCTCTGAATCCTTCACCGACGGCTGATTGCTAATGTATCTCGACTGGTACCGGAAATCTAGAGAAGAGAGAGCAAGAGAGCGCCGGCCCTAGATTCTTCCGCAACCGCTTCATCTCTACTCATGTCGGGGCAGTTGATTTGCAGGTTTATGTTCATCGATTTGGTTTCCATGGCGGCGGCGGCATGGAAGAAGCAGGCGATAAGTGCTTAGTCCTCAGCTTGGCGCGAACGCCGATTACAGGGCGAATTGAGAACTTCTGGCTGAGAGGAATCACCAAATCGAGCTCCTCTTCCTGCTCAAGAACAATCACCGTGTTGAGAGCGAGCTTCCTCGCGAGGAGAGCGAGGGAAATTGCAGACCAGGAAGGCATCTGGGTTTCCTTTACAGAGGCAGCTCATGGCGAGGAGAGGCATCTGAGCAAATCGATTTCTTGGTGGGGGAGGGTTTCTCTGCCGTGGGGGAGGACGGAGATGTTGCCGGAGTTGTTAACGGCGAAGGATTTCTCGGTGTTGGCGATTTTTAGAAACAATATTAATTAATTAAGTTTAAATTTTTTAATTTTTTTCTAATTTTTAATTATAAATATGAGGTGTCATTGACGTGGCATCTACGTGGCTGCCACGTCAACAAAAGTCAATGTTAATGTTGACTTCCGTTTGGTCAACCGTTATATATAACGGTCAACAAAATCGTCAGGACATAAATGACACAAAACTATAATAGGTTGGGACACAAATGTCGTATCGAATACTTTAGGACACAAATGACACAAAGTTAATAGTTCGGGTTTCCCAGTGGTATTAGCCCTTGAAAGAAATATTAGTTATACACTTTCAACGAAGAATTCATCTAAACTAGGATCATGCCACTCAGCTAGCTCGATGGTGAAGTTGTCATGGTAAGGATGAGATTGTTTAAGGCTTTCTTGTTTTAACAAGTGATTAGGATCAAGTGAAGGCCTCAAATGGATCATGAGAAATTTTAAGGAACGAAATCTTACATACGTGATACGACAAGCTAGACATTTGCTTTATTTTACTATGACTCGACTAGACATCATCTATATGATGAACATTCTTAGCCACTTTGTTCGTGTTTCATCTCATGTCCACATTTCAGCTAGTTATCGCGTTCTCCATTAGCGGAACAATTCTACTGGGACAAGAGTTGTTCTTCCATGCTACATGTTCCTTAACACTTCAACGTATTATGATGTGAATAGAGGTGCTTGTGAGAGCACTCGCCATTGTACCACCGGGGTACAATTTGCAACTTGTGGATATTGGATCCTTTTTCCTGGTGCACAACCATGTTCCATGCCTTTCTGTTGTGATATTAGACCGCTTTGCACATAGTAGCAAACCTAGTGTTTCAATGGATTGTTACTTTACACGAGAATGAGAGGTTCCCGAGATATTCAATCATAGAAGGTCGCCTCTAGTGACCGGCTCACTGACATATTCACTGATTAAGTTGTTGGGCGCTAGGCAGTTCCGTTTTCTTCTCTTCAAACTTAGCACTCACGATTTTCATGTATTGACTTGAGAGAGAGAGAGTGTAGGATTCATACTTTATCATTTTATATGCTCAACTCAAGTAATTATTTTTTTGTGTGATCAAGTTGTACTTTGGCTTTCTTATACCTAGATCATATTTCGCCCTAGCTTTTCACACACCCGATATATTAGCAACACACTGCCTATTATATTCTCGAAGCTAATAAAGAATAATAAAAATAAACTTCGACTGTGAAGGAATGCTCACATAGTACTATGAGAAAATAACCATATAAATCGAATTGTTTCAATTATCGCTCCAGTCTCTCGTTTGTGCCCCCCAACACCTCAACTGTTAAGTAGGTGGGTGGTTACTCTCCTCTAGATTAAATTTTCGTATTATCGATTTAATAAAAAAGAATAGATTATCTTCTCGTAATTCTCCCCACCAGAAAAAAAAATCCCACTTGAAAAAAAAAAAAAATAAACAACAACAATAAAAGTCAGACCTCTGTTAAATATACACTTCATATAAACAACACTCAATCATAAAAATGACATGAATTTACAAATATGAGAAACAAGAACATGCATTTTACAGTAATGAAGTCAACACTCTATTTTTCCCCTCTAAGTTAAAAACCCTTATAATCATTATTAGCTCATAATGGGGGTGGATAAACTTGGGAGACAGAACTGGGGAATCTGAAAGACAAATTAAAGGCTCCGTCTCGTTGACTAAATAACCCCTTATATTAGCTATAAATACCATTAAAAACCCTCCCTTCCCACTCCCACATCTCAAACCCCTCTAATCTCCGCCTTCCTTAATCCCATTTTCTCGGGAACGCACAAAAAAAAGGAAGGAAAAAAAAAACACATTTACAGTTAATTAGTTGTACAACATGGCCAGCTTTCGTCCAGCTCAGCAACTACCGCCAGCAGCAGCCGACGGCCAGCCCAACAACCGCGTAGCCGCCGTCGCCGGAACCCCCTCCCCGCCGCCCACCAATCATACTACTACTACTAATACCGTTTCCGATGATGATCAGCAGGTTTGATTATCTATAAGCAGGTTTCCTCCAGCCTTACAATTAAATCATTAATTATGGTTTGAAACTCAACTAACTGTAATTAATACGATGGAGCAGCCGGGATGGAGGAAGTTCCTGAAGTTCATTGGGCCGGGTTTCCTCGTCTCACTGGCCTACCTCGACCCTGGAAACCGTACGTAATTAACCACTACACTAATTACTGTCTAATTTATATTTTTTTAGTTTGCCATCCTTTTTCACCCCATTATTTATTTATTTATTTGGTATCGCAGTGGAAACTGACCTGCAGGCCGGGGCTAATCACGGCTACGAGGTGAGAAAGGAAAATCACAGATAATTACATTTATGTACTGATTAATTTACCAGTCGTCATTCGTTCCATCATTTAACTGGGCTTCTAGCTAGCTAGCTTTTGTAAATATATAAAAATAAACTAGTTAGTGTTCAACTAGAGTCACAAGGGGTGACGTAGTGGTGAAAACGATGTTTTAATGGGTGCATGCCGACAATATTGGAGAGGGTTAGAGATTAATTGGAGATTACATTAATTAATTAGGTTTACTAATTGGGTTGTGTTTGTCTATGATGGATGAATGAATGAACAGCTGTTGTGGATTATACTGATTGGGTTGATCTTCGCTCTCATTATCCAATCTCTGGCTGCCAACCTTGGCGTTAGCACCGGTAAGTTATATCAGACTACTCTCCGTTCCTCTGCCGTATAATTCCGTAATAATGTTCTTTCGAAACAAACGCCTCTGACGTCAAATTAAAGTTGACGGAATTTGTCGTTAGATGCGAGCTTCGTTCTCATCTTCGTCATACATTCTTAGGGCTACTAGTACAATTAAGTTACACAATTTAAGTGCTCGATCTTTTGAGGGAAAACAGTAAAGTTTAGGAGCTAGTTTGAAAGAAAAAAAATATATATATGAAAGTTTTTAAGACAAAAACCGGTAACTAACATTTTTGTTTGTTTCTGCTGAGACTATGACGACATGAATCTGTTCAATATTCTCATGAATCGGTTTGCCGTCAAAAGGTGAATAGATACTCAACATAAGATTACAATTTTACATTGATACAGTATGTAAACAAGAGATATGATTAAAATTGAGCAAAACCATCACATAAGATGACGAGGAAGTAGTATTGGTATTAGGATTATTGTTATTATCATTATTCTATGAGCTAGGTAATATAGTACTCTTTGAGTAACGACATTAGAAGATACAAACATTGAGTTGAAATCTTTGACCACTTTGGTTTTGAAGTCATTATAAATTATTATATGGAGATTGATTGTTGGATTTGCCATCATCGTTTTGTAGGGAAGCACTTATCCGAACTGTGCAAGGCCGAGTATCCTCAATTCGTGAAGATATGCCTATGGCTGCTTGCCGAGCTTGCGGTGATTGCTGCCGATATACCCGAAGGTTCAACCCTAACTCAAAAAAATTCATTCTGCAAAAGAGGAGAAAAAAAATCAATCATTATTGATTTTCATATTTGTTTCCAAGGTCTTGTAAACTCCTATAGTAATTCCTAAAAAAAAAACTAGTGGACCGTTATTCTTTCTTTTAACTAAGGGACTTTTTTTTTTGGTAAAACGAGAGCATCAAATAACATGACACAATTTTGAGATGGTTGGTTTGAATTCGATACATTACGAAACTATTTTCTTCCTCCCCTTTTAACATAGAATAGTAAAACTCTATAATTTTGCTATATTGTTTCAGCATATATGAAGGGAAAAAAATTAATTAATCAATTAATTTGGCACATGGGATGCACAACTCATTTGATTACTTTTTAGGGATCCTTTGATCGTGTGGAAGGAGACACCATCACCATCTGATTTTGGATTTTTATTTGTAAAATTGATGCTAATGATTAATTATAGAAAACAGTCTTACAAAAAAAAAATATACAGAAAACAGTTTTGGCGTACCCTCTGTACTTAGCGACAGACTCTATTACCTAACCCAATTTTAAATGACTATTTCCCCCCTATTATCTATTGCTTTCGAGGTTGACAACTGGAGTGTCTCAAATTAATATCTGTTCCGAAAAATTCAATAAAATAATACACTTAATTTTTTTTTAAGAACTTCAACCCAAATTTTGCAAGGAAACAAAGTACTGTACTATTGTTGACCGATAAGCCGGCTGAATTGTACATTTGTACTCAATTAGCTTGAGTTAAAGTTAATTATACCATAAGCTCCTAATTATCCGTCTAATCCTGTTTTTATTTATTTACTGAATATTGTTGCAGTGATTGGGACAGCTTTCGCACTGAACATTTTGTTTCACATCCCGGTCTGGGCCGGCGTCCTCCTCACCGGCAGCAGCACTCTCTTACTCCTCGGCCTCCAGAAATACGGGGTACTTTCACTACAACCCGAAAAATATATATATATATATATATATGATACAACCATCACAACGTCACAAGGTTAGAGTTCTAATCGTAACACGTGTATTTTTTGTGTTAAGGTGAGGAAGCTGGAGCTGTTAATCTCCCTGCTAGTATTCGTAATGGCGGCATGTTTCTTCGGCGAAATGAGTTACGTAAAACCTCCGGCGTCGGACGTTCTGAAAGGCATGTTTATCCCGAAGCTCGCCGGCCAGAGTGCCACCGGCGACGCGATCGCCCTCCTCGGCGCCCTCATCATGCCGTAAGCTAATTAACCTTTCCAAGTCTATACATAAAATTTGACACTAATTAATTTCATATGACGTGAAATTTAATTGATTTTTGATGTTGCAGGCATAACCTCTTTCTCCACTCTGCTCTTGTCCTCTCCCGGAAAGTTCCCAACTCCGTCCGTGGCGTCAACGTGAGCATTCCAACTAACTAATTAAACCCCACAATTCATCTTTCCTACTCGTTAATGCAATTAATTGCCTGATGTGGATGTTCGCAATCTTTGGATCTACATGGTTTCATTATTTAGTAATTTACAGAATAATATTACTGCTTTTGGATTAAACAACTTGGTGAATCACGAAAGATTGATCTAATTAGTACCTCAAACGCCAATTATCACTTCACATTTGCAATTGTTGGATCAATATAGTGGTGCTATTAAAAAAAATCCATCGGATTTGATGAAATGATTGGAAATGTTGGCATAATAGCCCGATTCTTTGTCGATGATGTTCATCTTTATGCGTGCAGGATGCTTGCCGGTATTTCCTGATAGAGAGCGGGTTCGCCCTGTTCGTGGCGTTTCTGATCAACGTCTCGGTCATTTCGGTTTCGGGGAAAGTTTGCACGGGGACGAATATCTCCGCCGAGGATGCCGAACGTTGCAGCGACCTCACCCTCAACTCTGCCTCTTTCCTTCTCAAGGTATAGTGGAAAACAGAAACACTTACACACAACAACAAAACCCCCCCAAATTTTGGATAGTATGAAGTTTATTTGACCAAAATTGAGGCAGTAGCTAGTTGCGTAATTCCTTTTCCTCTCAATCCATAATTCCCTTTGTTTCAGAATGTGTTGGGAAGATCGAGCAAGATTCTGTACGGAGTTGCCCTGCTAGCTTCAGGGCAGAGCTCTGCAATCACAGGAACATATGCAGGACAGTACATAATGCAAGGGTTCTTGGACCTCAAGATGAGAACTTGGCTGAGGAACCTAGTCACACGGAGCATTGCAATCACTCCCAGCTTGATCGTGGCCATCATCGGCGGATCCGCCGGCGCCGGACGGCTGATCATCATTGCATCGGTTAGAACAACACTTTAACTCTGTCCCAAACCAAACCAACCACACTAAATATGTTACAGATTATGAAGGAAGAAAAAAAAAATCTTAATGTTCAATGTTACCGCGTTTCGATGTCTGGTTTTACGCGCGCAGATGATCCTCTCATTTGAGCTTCCGTTCTCTCTGATCCCACTTCTGAAGTTCAGCAGCAGCAGTACAAAGATGGGACCTTACAAGAACTCCATCTATGTAAGCTGATAATTCATATTTTGTACATAGGTGTAACATTTTTACCACATGAATATTCTGTAATCAAATCTATGGTACGTAATTTTTTTTGTGCAGATCATTGTGGTGTCGTGGATTCTCGGGCTGGGAATCATCTCCATCAATGTGTACTATCTGTCCACCGGATTCGTCGGGTGGCTGATCGACGGCGACCTCCACAAAGTCGGGAAGGTGTTCATTGGCATCATAGTTTTCCCACTCATGGCGATCTATGTTCTGGCAGTGATTTACCTGACGTTTAGGAAAGATGTCGTTGTAACTTACATCGAGCCGGTGAAAGGAGTTGAAGAAGGATTTGGGGGAGAAGCAACAGGGGAAGGTCAGCTTCCTTATAGGGAGGATTTAGCCGATATCCCATTGCCACAATGAGAGACTCCATATGATAAGAGAAGCTCGATGGTTTTGTTTTTTGCCCTAGTTGAAGTGCTGATCAGTGTTTGATGTGTAGTATATAATTGGTGTAGCATATGTAGGAAGGCTCCATTGCTCCTCCATCGAGTGAAACTTTGTTGTGTTTTAACTTTGTGTCTTGTGCCTTACTACTAATGTGGTTACAGTTTTGTGGCAAGTACCATCCTTCTATAATGTTATTGTTACTTTGTACTCATAATAAAAAGTTAAATGTCTGATTATGAATGACACTTCTCTCCTCTTTTCCATCCTTTTCTTATATCTTTGAATTGTGAGTCATATATAGCTACCTTTTAAGGGATCGGTCGCTCATGGTACATATAAATTTTGGCGAATATTTGTTGTTCTTATTGACATTGGTTTGTTTTTTATTATTAAGTGCGCTACTAAAAGGATTTGAATATGAGATCTGCAGGTTGAAGACTAGCGGTAAAACATCAATCAGATTAAAAAATCGTTGTTTGCGTAAAGCTTTGCTATTTAGTCGACGAAAAAGTAACAAAGGTATGAATAAATGTATTTTCTTTCGGATTTGGATCTCTGTGCTTTGAGATGACTTTCTCGGTAGTCTTGTGTGTGGGGCTCTCTATAACGAACAACACCCTTCGCTCAAAACAACACCCATCTCGCGGTCTCCGAACAACACCCTTCGCTCTGTAGGGCCGACTGAAAAACGATAGAGTCTCCAACATTCCGGGTGGTATAGAATTAGGGTTTTTAGTTGGAATGTCCGATTCAATTGGGTTTGATCATAAAAAAATTTATTAATATTTTAAGTGATGTGACATGCCGACTGGACGAAACTAATGATTTTTTTTTTATAATGGTGAAATATATTATTAATAGAACGAAAACACGAAAAAAGAGACTAACGCTTTTTTTGATGGAGATGGACGAAATGACTATTTCGTTATTCTCTCAGAAATATGTTACTGAAACATACATAATGAAAGATTTGTGACCATTTCGTACAAAGTAAATAGGTTTATAACTATTTATGCTAATTACCCGAAATATCTATGAAAGAAATTTCATATCCCTAATAAATATCGACAGGTCCTGTAACTTGGAATTTGGAAGTGTCCTCCTGCTCCAGGCTCCAGCAGATCCCATAAGGCCACAAGTGATAATAAAACCCCGTTCGAAGAACTTGAGCCCTGGGACCGAAGGAGTAGGACAGAGGCAGCCCAGTAATGGCGAAAACCTTCACTCTGGTTCAAACAGTTGCCACTGCAGCAGTTTTCTCTGCTGTTTCCGGCTGGTAACTTCCCCAAAAATGCTGCCTTCCCTTCTTTCTTCATTCCTTTTTGTCATTCAACTCTGCTTCTCTCTCCAGGTACGGTTTCATGTTTGGAAGAGAATCGGCCCGTAAAGAACTCGGCAGCTTGATCGACGATCTACGCCGCGGAGATTCCGCCTCCCCTCCTCCTGTGCATTCTTGACTGGTACAAATTCTCAGTACTCTTTCATAACCCTTTTTTTTTTCCCTCCTTTCTCGATTGAGCAAACTGTAATTGGAGGAATGGAGGTTGGGTGAAGTTTTCACCTTTCTTGTTCCTAGTCGTCTGTGAGTTCTCTTTGATCAATTGTACTCTTACAGTTTTCTTTCTATGTCAATTTTGATGCTGTAGTGATGTTCAGTAACCTTGTAGACACTCCTTGATATTGGAACTAGAACTTGAGGCTCATTTATAGGGCATTAAATCTGTTGAACTGTATATTTGGTGGTTTTCCAAAGCTGTTGTTGCTGAACAAATTGCTTTCTCCTTTTACGACATTGACAAAAGCTGGTTACTTTTGGCTTAGGGTTCTGCATTAAGCTCCAATTTTGAAGTTGTTGTTCAATTCTTTGCTAGTGTGTAGCGTTTCGAAGATGGGTTAGTGAAGTTCTTATAGATGGGTTAGTAAATTCTTTGCCCTTTGTCGACCTTTTGTTTACCTTCAGCTTGGTATCTGGCACCGACTGAAGTATGAACTCTTCAGAAAGATAAAGATCTCTTCATGTCATTTTGTAAATAACCAGTTGTTGAACATAGCGATTGCTAAAACATAACTAACTCAGATTCAAACCATTAGTAGGTAACCTGCAAAAGCCAGAACCTGCAGTGTGGTACCCTCCGTAAACACCACGAGTGAATTTCTATGTAGACTAAGTCATCAACAATGTCCCAGTAGTAATTGATCCTTTCGTCCCAGTTCAGTGATCAGTTTTGTTTGTAATTTTTTGCAGTCTAAGAAGTTGGTGCATCTGCATTGTTAATTTTCCCAAGAGTTATCATCGCAGGCGCATGAGTTTCAGCTTGAAATGCTAAATAGCGACTGCAACAGTGTCTCGGAGAAGTCTGATGAACATAAAGGGTCTAAGAATTTGATAAATTGTGAACCTGGGGGTGGATATTTTTTTGGGTTCTGGTCCTCGGGAAAAGTAGGAAATGTTCTTGTCTTTCTAGCTTGCATGAATATGATCCCTGTGAGATGAAGAGAATCGTTAAGATGTAAAGGCTGTTGAAGAGGAAATCTGCATTCTGCAAATCTGGTGAGGTCGAACTATTGGAGGCCTTCTGCTTACCGAATGTACTCATAGCTCAAGTTTTGTATCTGTGCTTCTACGGACAGTTGTTTAAGCAGTGCAATGAGTTCCTCTGCCTTTTCTTTTGTTCATTAGCAGCGAGCAACCCCACTTTAGTTACTGTCGTCTGGTCTGGAGTAGTGGGAAGTGTTAGGATTTGGATGAAAATGTCCTAATCTGCAATGAAAATGTCCTACACTGCACTCTGAACTTCTGCAGGACAGTTGTTTCTGCTAACTGCGACAGGATAGTCGAGAAGAATCCCACTCTTTCAATCAATCGCATATCTTGGAATAACGATGGAATTGTCTCTTACCTTCTATGTAATCAATCGCAACTACCTTGTATAACTAATTGGTGTCGGCGAGATCATCTTAGTAAAACCATGCTAAATGCAATGTTGAATATCTAATTTTGTAACTAGGTTTCTCAACATGAATATCTATTTTAGGTATGGTTAAGGCCGACGTAGCCTCAACAATGCCTCACCATTCACTCCTGCCAACATCTGTTTACAACACTAAGAAACAGTATCTCAGAACATATTACAGTGAGCCCCTTCATAGACAACTGTAAGTTTTCCAACATTGGATATATGAATCTACCCCAAATTCATTTCACGAAACTCGTCATCTCGGGCGAAACATTTGTACTCTGTTACAAGCCCTACACACTAAATTCCCTAAGTGATGTACAAATGGTGGCGAAGCCAGGGCCTCTTCTGTAGCTCAAATTAGCAACATGCTCTGAACTCTCAATTCGAGTCCAGGAAAAAAGTTAGGGTTTCATTTTCAACCTAGACCAGAGCTAGGCCCTGATACAGACCTAAGAATTTGATTAAGATTATTATTAGGCTGCGTATTCCCAGAAGAAGCATTGAACATGACGTTGGCCTGCCCGCCTGAAGACGAAGGCTGTATAGCTGACAAGGGTAGCCTGGGCCCCATGGAAAACATCGATTGACCTCGTTGCATGAAGGGCATATGCGGATGGACTACTTGCTGCTGCTGCTGACTGTTGTTGCCATACCCAGCAACAATCGGCTGAGAAGATGTGGTGGGCATCATCTGTGGTCTGATGTTGTTGACCATGTTATTGGCTGGCATGGAAGAAGGATCAACGCCTGCTCGATTTATATGAGACATGGGCAGCGAGGACCCCACGTCGGTCGACTTCATTCGAGCTCGCTCTGTAGAGAACCTCTGCCTCATCTTCTCCACTTGTTCGCATTCTCTCATTAGAAGAGTTTCTACCTCTGCAAACTGCTTCAGCTTCAGCTCTAACCTCTTCAACTGCGCCCACCAAATTAACCACCTCTCAAGTCAATCAATGATTTACAACAATCAAACAAACAGATCTAAGCAATTCACTCTATCTGGCTTCTAAAACATGTCCACATACTTATCCAATGAAAAGAATCAATTCAGAATCAGTTATTTCTATTTCACCCTTTCCCTGAATTATACTACAAAAACGTTTCTACCTTCCCATGCTATATTTTATCTAGGCAAAACCTACGTAGCAAATGACAGGCTAAATGCCACTACTCTCAATCCCATGCCCAGAGCCATTTATGAGGTCACAATTACATTACAAAACGTAATAGTTCAGGAATGGATTGCAAGGTTGAGAAACAACTATATACTTTAATCAACAAGCAAATCATGTCACCTAAACAATAACATGGTAAAAGTAATCATGGGAAGGTTCTAAACTGCCTGTGATATAAGATCACTACTCAAACAGTCAGGAGAAAATTAGCATGGTAAGCAGCTCAAATGGCATCAGAAAAGCAAAATAAAAATTTACTGGGTTTACCTGATGATTAATGATAATGGCAGAAAGCCTCTGAATCTCACGCTCTTCATGATCTGCAAAGAGCTTAGCCTTGGTTGCAGCAGCAGCAAGACCAGCTCTGGCTGCAGCTTTAACCTTCTCGGCAGATAATGCCGCAGCCACGATTTCATTTTGGTGGACTGAATCTGCAATTTCTCCATTATTATTGTCTTGTCTACCTTGTACTTGGTCAGCATTCATCCTTCATTTTCAGAGGAAACGTATTACTCAAGTAGAAAACATAAAGAAAAGCAGGACCAACTCGTCACTATATCAATAGAGCTATCAATAATGATCCATATATGCTAAAACAGTGAAGAGTTTATTATATGCTCAGCAGCAGTTTTTATGAAACAGAGTGTTTCTATATAATGGCTGTGCTTGTTACGGCTTCAACAAAAAACTACTGAGAAAATGGACTTAAAAGCTGAAACAAACACACTTCTTCAATAACTTCTAAAAACAGCTATTCATGAGGAAACCCAAAATTATTAATTCTAAAGACCGCCCCGCCCCAAGAAGAAATGCATTCTCAACTTTGCCCCTCTGAAATAAGACTTTTTTCTTAAAGCTATACACATAATAATCATTTCCCAAAATCTACTTATTCTTTATTATTAAACAAATTAGCTATCATATTACCTCATCATTTACTTTTTTATATATCAAAGAATATCTCGTATCCCATTACCTCAACATTTTCTAGAGACCCTATCAAACACATTCTTCTTCACTTCTAGTAAACTTCAAAATAATCGCTTTCTTAGTAGAAGCTAAAACAAGAACACCAAATACTTCTCCAAATTTTATATATACCCATTAAAAACAAACCTCACTTCAGTCACAGCTGATTACTAATTAAGCACGCCTGATCAACAAAGTTACTGAATGAAGGGTTGAGAGTTCAGTAGTAAAATAAATTACAGAATCGACCCATAATGAGAGGGGAATGAATTCACCTACTATCCTCGGATAATGCTGCCAAGGATGCATGAGCACATGCAGCAGCAACTCTTGGACCAACAGCAGAGGCAAGAAATGCAACCTACGCAACACATTACACATCTTAGATGCAAACACAACAGCTGAAGCAAGTCCAACTTGCTCTCCAAACTCTACCTCTGTGTAGAGCCCACCATTTTCCATTTACCGGTCATAACTTGAAGCTTGATCTAAAAATCAATGAAAGTAGTGAAGGAAGATCAGTCAATTGTAATAACCTACCAATGCCATGGCTGGGTTCCCGGAATTTGCAAAAGGCAGCCGGCTTTCTGAATCATTATCTAATGTGCAGGATCCTTCATAGATCAAATAAAGAAGAATATCAGGAAGGTCACATCCTCAGTACAGAAAATTCTGCCCTGAACAAATGAACAAAAATGAACCTCACCGTTTGAACTCGAATGCAACCCACTGCAGTCATCTCCATTTGATACACTAGTGGAGTTAGAAATCTTTGGAACGTCGACATTTTCCAAAAGGCCATCCTCCATCGGTAGTCGCAGAAAATGCAGGATGCATTGTGCTTTTGACTTGCTGCCAACATGCTCTGCAATTTCATTCCAATTCTCACTGTAGATCTCCATTGCCTCAAGCAGGAGTAACGTTTCTTGATCAGTCCAGCTTTCTCCATCTACATCACCATAATCTTTTGTCGAATCCACCTTGGAAAAATCTAAGCTTGAATGGCCATTAACAAATCTACCATCATGGAAGCAATCATAGCATAGTAGGATATCAACCTGGTACAGTAGATCGATAAAACATGAGGAAAAGCAAAAACAAGTATAAGGATGCTGATAACCACAAAGGTTTTTATTTTATTTTTAATTTGTGTAGTTTCTAAGAAATAGTCAAATAGAGGCACCAAAACAAACAAAAAATAACCAACACGCAGAAAGAAAATAAGAAATAGGAGTATCCAACTTACATCTTTTTGTGACTGATAGTATATAGTGAGAAGGGAATGACCACAGTAATTGCAACAATTTTCAGATAATCGCTCTCGAATTCTGTTATCCAAGTCAGCGGGATCATCACCATGACATGACAATGATGAATAAGCATCAGCCGCCTTAAGCCTACATTTGGGCTTGTCAAATTTGATTAAACTATCAATAGACTTTAAAGCTGCTGACGGCACATGAACCTCACCACTTGCATCCTCCCTCAAATACGATCCAACATTCCAAGATTCACGACTTGGTGCAGCTGCACAATAATTGATTATTCCCCAATGATCCAAAAACCTAACAATTCGAGCCAACTCTTCGTCACTGACGCCAGGTACCACCAATTCATGAAAATCTGAAACTGTTAGCCGCTTATCAGGAGTCTCCATGTATTTAGCAACAATGCGGTTCCTACATTCCATATACTTCTCTGGTGTATGATCAGTTGATTTTCCTGAGAAGAAATGAGGAACCACTTGCCTCTCCAGCCGATGCACAGTCGTAGGTGTGAACCAATCTAGTCATAGGGGAACCAAAAGAAAACGTGGAAAGATCATTACAAAGATGAAGATATGACAAAGATACCAGGTAGACAAACCGGAACAAAATGGCACAACTGAAGCCCATTTATTTTAAAGAAACTCCATGCCATAGAGTAGACATACGCAACTTCCATGTACTAGCATCCAGGCAAAGCAAGAAAATCGACAATGTACAAAGCCATATTGAATCCACACAAGACATAAAACGGTTTGCCTGGGTTTACAACTATAAACTGCAAAACAAATGAACTTCAGCTTATCCTTGAAACAAAACCGTACGACAGGCATTTAAGGGCGAATGTGCAGTTCCTGATAAGCAAACTAACAACCTCTATTAAGAGAAATGGATATATCTGGCTGAAGTGTTTCAACTAAACTGGCAGAGGACAAAAATTTGGTCAAAGACAATCGCACGAGATACAGGCTCAGCCAGTGAACACAGTTTAATATCTACAAATTTGAACTATAACCTTCCAATCCTACTAAGTACCAGGCTATGAATGTCTTTGTTTCAAAAGAAAGAAAAAAATATCTCGGAAATGAGCTGCATGATTGTATTTACTGGGTAGGTTAGAAGTAAGTCTGGCTTTTCAACACTAACATTTCAATTCCAAAACATGGGCAGTTATAAAGTTGACAAAAGTAAGGTATTTGTTATCTGACAAGGATTTGGCTTTTCAATAAATACTCCACAGGTCCCTCAGGTACGCACTGTTTGCTGCATTGCCGGTGTATTTACCACCAATAAATCACATCGTTTGTTATAAACACTTAGCATATGGACAAGTAGAAACCAGATGCTGAGCACTCAAAACTAACACCTGTCTCTCTCTTCATTCCCATGAGGAACCGTTGTTCAAAACTTCACGTTGTTCACTAATCCCTAGATTCACATAAGAAGCTCTGAAATCATTCCTCGGAAAGTCGGAATAACACTTCTTCTCCAGCAAAAGTTGCGGCATTTTCCTCTTTGTCAAGCACTAACATCTACCAATAAAACCCACAGGACTCTACTCTTGTGACGCCATATTCTGACAAACCACTGCCAGCTCGACAAAATACGATCAAAACAAACCCACCAGAAATATTCGAGTAATACCTGAATGCATAGGGACCAGGAGAACCCTATTCCCAAACCGCTTGACAACCCCTTTTCCCTCCATAATCCGAGGAGGCGTTACCACAAAGGCAGCATTACCACCATCACTTCTCTCCTGATCCCCACCACCAACACCACTCTCTGCAGGGACAGCAGACAACGCCGCCATCTGCCCACACGACAAATTCTCCAAATTGGGGAGCAACCCTCTACCACTGCCGCCACCACTGCCAGCTTCCCCGCGCAAATTGGCCCGCTCGGCAGCCACAATCGCGAGAACGGAAGCGTGCGGGCGATTCACGGCGCGCCTAACGACGGGAGGGAAGTCGCAGACCCGGACCCCACCGTCAGCAAGCACCTCGACCGGATCGGGAGCCGCGGAGGAGCGAGTAGCAGCAAAAGGGTTGACGGGGGTAGGATCCTCGGAACCCTCACGGTCGAGGTGGGTTTCATCGTCGAGTGGGGTAGCGGTGTCGTAGTCGTCGTCGGAGTCGTCGTGCTTGGGTTTGCGGGGATTCTGCGGCTCGCGCTTCCGCCTCTTCCATTTGCCTCTGCCATCTGCGGGAGTTTGGGGGTGAGGGAGAGAGACAAAAAAACCCAGAGAAATTACAGCAAATTGAAGCAAAAATAAGGGAAGAGAGTGAAGAGTGAGTGAGAGAGAGAGAGGGAATTACCAGAGGAAGGGAAAGAAGGGGAAGCCGGCATTTGGGAGAAATGCGGAACGAATTGCGGGGATGGTGGGGGATAGAGATGGGTTTGTGGGGAACGTTGATTGGTTGAAATTGAGGGAGGGTTTCAATTCAAATTCTTGATTGAGAGCGGACGAAGACCAGCCGAGAAGGCAGGTTGCCGGCGGGGGATTATTCGCCTTGCTTCTCTCTCTGCTAAATCTTTACAGCCTCTCTCTCTCTCTCTCTCTCTCTCTCTCTCTCTCTCTCTCTCGCCCACTGTCTGAGATTTGGGGAAATTTCGTTTGCGTTTGGTTTCTATGCTCTCCTCCAAGAACCCGCAGAGCAGGCTTCATAGTTGCTTCGATGCGGCGTCGTTTCGCAATCTTTTATTTTTTATTTTTTATTTTTTGCAATTAATGGTCAATTTACTCGAATCGTTACACTTAGCGCGACTGGGTCATTTTTATAGACAAGTTGGGTGGGCGTTAAATCGGTTTGTGTTGTTCGATAAACGTTTACTATTTCTTTGTCTTAGCTCAAACTCACCGATTTCCCTTCACCAGCTGCAGCAGAAGCAGGATTGTTTCTACGACATCAACAAAAGGAAAATGTTTGCTTTGTTCATGCCTATATAATTATGTGGTTGGTTTTGCTTGTGTGTATCTTAGTAGGCTAGGCTGAAAAGAAGGCCCGACTTTTGTTCGAGACTTAGGCCAATTTTAAAACATTGAGTTTGAGTGCCATTTGATCCCCAAAAGTTAGTATGAGTCGAGTTTGTGCTTGGTTACGTAGGCTTGTTTTGCAAGTCTAGTACTAGTTCAAGTAGATGGTCGGTTAATGATTTTCTTATCGGTTAACCACTAAGCGATGCATCGGTTAGTGGTTTAACAATAAGGAAATATCACTAACTGATCACTGAACCGTCATTCCTTTCTTTCTCTTCTCATTTTTGGTTCTTTCGTTTACCTCTTCCTCAAACCACCACCACCATCATCTACCACCACCATATCTCCTTAGATTTGGAGATTTTAAGGATCTTGAAGGTTAATACTTAAGAGTCAGGTTTGGAAGCTAGAGAACAAGGAAGGGAGGTCCAAAAAGATGTAAGAAACATATGGTTGCATCTCCTTTTTCCTCGAACTAGAATCCTAAGTCCTAGAAAGGGGTTTAGAGGGCAAAGCATGAACTTGTTGCTTGATTCTATGTTGGAAATCATGTTTAAACATGTTATAAGTTACCAAAAGAAGGTTAGAGATGGATGATTATTGATCAAGGTAGTGAAGTTGCCAAAATCGGGCTTTGGCCATTTCTTGCTCTGTGAATGAAATAAAAGGGCTATGATGAGTTGTATGAATGTATATAGACTTGATTTAGCATATCAAATTATAAAGAAGACATGGAGTTATGGAATGGATTGAGCCACGGAGAAGGAAGGTTGCCCTGTCAAAGTCGAGAACGCAGGCTCTCTAGGCAAGAACGCGGGCGCGTAATTTGGAGTTGTATGAGTGTATATAGACTTGATCCAAGTATGATCCAATATCCTACCATCTTTCGTTGGATGTCTCGTTTGGAGATGGACAAGTGTGGCACGCGGACAGCTAATCAGTCATGCTGTCATGATTGCTCTTTGCATATGTTAACAAATAACAACCAAACCATGGATTGTCAATGGTGTGCAACCAATCACATGAATATTCTCATGACAATCAATCCATGTGAACACACATAAGAATATAAGCAAATGTAATAAACATAGCAAGGTGAAAACAATCAATCACTATATATATTAAGAATCAAACATCATACATAGTTCTTAAAACCTCTAGGATTCACAAACATATGCAACTGATCAAACTAGTCGATCATGGGGACAAAGAAAAGGAAAAAGATCAGTCTAGAGAAGATTTGACATACGTACTGAGAACGACGCCCTTATGTGCAAAATGGCACCTAGGGCGTCATTTTTGTCATCGTTTCTACCCTTGGAGCTTGTAGACAATTTCAGAGTTTTGGAGTTCCACTGGAGACAGTAACTCCTCTGTAAAAGTTGTATCCAAACTGAGTCTGACATCACCTGTTTATAGGGCCAGATATCAGGTTTTGAAGAGGTTTTCTGGGAGAAACCGACTCAAAATAAAATATCTTCAGTTTATCTTATGCTTGGGACTAAAGAAAGGAATATTTAATAAGTTATAGTCGCAAAATTCTCTTTTAATGGCTCCAAGACAACAATTTTGGGTTTTGATAGGCTATTTTGCAGTCATTTTGGGCTAGGATTCACAACTCCTTTTAACTTTCAGTTCATGAATATTGATGTCTACTACTCACACAAGCTGATCCACTAGGGTGACATAGTCTGAAAAATACCAAAATACTAGCTAAAATGCAAAATTGTATGAAAACATGCCTAAATCAACTAAATGCACCTTAGAGAAATTCCAAATCAAAATGACTAAATAAGAAGAAGAAATGATGTAAAACATGTCATAAAACGAGGTGATAAAAACATATATTTTACGTGTCATCATGTCAGCAGTACTCAATACAAATGTCTCATCTAACTATACATGAACTACACTCAGCTCAATCCAAACTACAAACATTTTGTATTCGTAGTGGCAAATATGAAAGAACCATACTTCTCGAGAAGACATGAAGGAATAACGCAATGCAAGCTGAAGTGACAACTTTAAAGGATAATCAAACCCGGGATATAGTGGGCTGACCACAAGGTAAAAGCTAGTGGGTCGTAAATGGTTATTCAAGACCATACTCGATGCGAATGGATCAATTGAAAGATACAAGGCAATGCTCATGGCTTCACCCAAGCCTATGCTACTGATTTCTTATACACTTCGTCAAGATTAGGGATGACAATTTTGCCCATACCCATGGGTATTTTACTATCCAACCCAATTGGGTTGGGTATGAAATCCAAATATATGGATATGGGTAAAGTTTGATGGGTTTGTACCCATACCCATTTACTTTGGGTTGGGTTGGGTTTATAACAAATGGATTTGGGTTTGTACCCATGCCCAAATACAAATTATAGTTTGGTACCTAAACTTAATAGATATGCATATTTAGTACCTAAATTTAATTTTTTTTGCATATAAGTCCTCAAAATATCGATGGAAAATTACGTTTTGGTACCTAAATTTTTTTGTCTTACATTTTGGTACCTAAATTTTTCAAGTTTTACAAATAGGTCCAATTTTTGCATGTGTAGTTAAAACACCATCAAGTAAATGGATATCCATATCCAACCCATACCCATTTAGATAATATCCATATTTAACCCAAACCCATATACAAACCCCAAACCCATACACACATCACCCAAACCCTACCCATAATAAATGGGTCTACTTGGGTTTGGGCAAAATTACCCATGGATGGGTAAATTGCCATCCCTAGTCAAGATCGATATTGTAAGAGTTATACTAACACTTGCATCAATGAAGAATTGACATATAATCTAGATGGGCATAAGCAATGAATTCTTGCATATGGATTTGGAAGAAGATGCATACACGAAGTTATTAACATGAAGACACATAATATTTGCAAATTAAGGAACTACTTATATGGACTTAAACAAACTAGTGGACAATGGTTTGCCAAACTAACTGAAGCTCTAGTCATATTTGGATTAACTTAGCCTTATTATGACTATTCCCTAGTCATCAAAAGAGCTTATCAAGGAACTAGAATGATGCTTGTATATGTTGATGATCCGATCCTAGAAGGTGATCGTAGAATTTGATAAAATTAGCGGAAAAGTTTTGTCACACAAGTAAAGTAAGAGATTTACGAAAGCTGAAGTACTTTATGGGTTTGGAGGTCACAACGAGTGCTTTAATTTCACTCACACGATACAATGACTTGGATTAAGGGGCTTGGCCTAAGACGTGGAGATCGATTATTGAGTATTGTATGTTCCTTGAAAGCTCATTGATTACATGAAAAGTTGAAGAAACAAGTGATTGTTATAAAGTCATAATTGGAAACAGAATACAAGTACTACTCCAGTTATCTTGTGAAGTGCAATGGATGACTCAATTGCTCAAAGATCTAGATGTTTCACATCTACATTCCACTATCATATACTACACCAACAAATCCACCATCCCATGTAGAAAATTTTGTGTTTCACGAAAGAAACAAGCATATAGAGATTGACCGGCAAGTCCTTAGAGAAAGAGTGAAGTTCGAACTATTAGATTTGAGATATATGTGTGAACCACTCGACCTATGTACACTCCTAAGTGTATGAATACATTTTGGTTTTGTGGTTATCCAAACCAAAATCAAAATCAAAACCGTTAAGGCCCTTATTGGTTAATGGTTTTGGTTTTTGGTAGTTTACTTGATTTGGTTATTGGTTTTTCATACTTAATGGTTTGATTAATAAAACCAAACCAAATTGACAGCCCTAGGACTTGAGAGGATTATCAAAACCAGCAAATTTCAGAATCCAAATTCCAGTAATCAATTCTCACGCCATCCCTTCGCACACAACACTACCCATCAAATTTCTCTATTCTAATCCAGGGAATAGCAAATTTGTTTGAAAACAGCCGAATTCTGGCGGAACAACGGAACCACCGCGTCCACACTCCCATCCCCCAAGAACGAAGGCAGCAGAAACATCATCCCTTCCGTCGGGTAATACGACGGCATGAATATGAACGGACTCCCGCCGCCGAAATCCAACTCGTAGAAAGGAAACCTCAGCCAGCTGTCCACCTCCAAATCCGGCCACAGCGCCGCCTTCCCCATATCCGCCGTCGGCACCAGATCCCCATCCTCCCCCTCCGCCGCCTCCTGCGACGCGAAGTCGATGAACGACTTGAAGTAAGCATCGTCCACGCGCACAATCGCGTCTTGGATTATCTTCGCCGCGTAACCCATCGGCCTGCTCACGAGCTCCTTCGCCCTCGCCGTCGGAAACGCCCACAGGACCAAATTGCCGTAGAAATCCGACGGGACCGGTGGATCGAGACTCAGCCGGGTCCGCCCGTTGACGGAGATCCGAACCGACGTCGTCTCGATTGGGCTCAGCCCACGGGCCTTGGTTATAGCCCGCCACAAGTGGGCCACCAGGCTCACGAAAGTGCTGTACGCAGCGACGCCGTTTGGTCTCCCGGTAGATGCTCTTGCCTTTAGCTTGCCAATGAAGTCAACCGTGAAATGGACCTTGTGGTTCACGATGTCCGAACCGGCAAACCGGTCGCGAACCACAATCCGACCGGAAAGGGTTTTGGTTTTCTTGTACTCGACCCCGACGTGGTCGAACCCGAACTCGGGCGGGACTCGAGGCCAGAATATGGACCGGTCCATCGACGGAACCGATCCCAGCTCGAGCCCTCGAGCAGCCCGACCCCACGCCACGAGGAAATTACTGGCCGAGAACGCGTCGGCCACGTGATGGTGGGACGAGTACCCGAGGACGAGCGACCCGCAACCGAACCGGGTGAGCTGGACCAGGGTGATTTCCTCTGCATGCTTCAACTCGGGGTGGAAGTCGAGCAGCAATGGTGACATCTCCAGTGGCAGGAACTTGTCGAAGCTGTCGTGGACGACGGCCTCGACGAACTTGACGCCGCGATCGTTGAGCAGAATGACGGGATTGCCCTTCTGGTTCTCGCCCAGCTGGCCGGCCATGACTCTGTACGTGGCCAGGACCTTGCGGAGGGCTAGTTCGATGGTGGCGTTGGAGGGCGTCGGCGGGCGGTAGGCGTAGAGCACGGCCATGTGGGTGTTGTAGGTGACCTTGTCGAAGATGTTGAGCGGGATGGAATCGGTAGTCGGCGGCGGAATGCTGCCGCCGTCGTCGTCGTCGTACAAGGGCTTGACGAGGCGTGAGGTCTGGATTCTCACCATTTTGCTACCGGTGGTGGTACTCATGGTTTTGTGAAGCTTGTTTTGCTTGTGTTTTTATTTTTCTGTTGACGTAGAATCGGGATTTATATGCATACAACAGGGTGGTGAATGTGTGTAACTGCTGGACTTTCTGTTTCATCATTCAATGCTGAGATTTCAATGCTACAACTTACACGAGGTTTAGAAGGTGAGTTGATTAGGGATCTGCATGAACAAAAATTGTGAACTTGGCCGAAGAGTTCTGACGGGAAAACGGACGTGTTGTGAAAAGAGGAGAGACTGTGATGGTCAAAGAAAATAAATACTGAAAGGTTGGTGAAATGACTACATTATCCAGGTATGGAAACCAGCAAGAGTACCTGCGGTTATGAAGCAAGAACTACCTACTGAAACGTTGACGATGCGATCAACATTGGCTGCCGGCAACGATTCAGTCCTCAGGAGGGATTCATAATCTGACTCAACGGAAGCTGTTGAGATAGACTTGCCTGCTGCAGAACTCTGTCATCATGTCACAGTGCGGACAGGACGGATTCAGAATCTGACCTAACGGCCGAATTGCGTTGTTGTTGATGATGCTCACTAGTGTCGATTACGAGACACACAACATCAATGTGCATAGTTTAGTTGAATAATCAAGCAGTTAGCAGAAATTATGCAAAATGCAACACTCAACTAAGATCCCATATCAGGCTGCAATGATTTTTATTCCAACTTCACACCTCAGGCTCCATACCGCAAAGAATAATTTATACCATCAAAGGGGAAAAAAACTAGACTACTCCTGCACTCTTGCCAATCTCAAAATCCAGACATTCTAACAATCCAATTGAAAACTTAAACCAGCAGTCGACCCGAGGCAACCATTGTTGGGCAACAGACAACTGCAACCGGGTAGGATTTCCCCTCAAATGCAACCAAAGTTGATTGTTGTACCATTAGCTGTCCTACTTCAAGTGGTGCTCAAACAAGGATGCCATCTCAATCTGCAGTGCAACCCAAACTCCACAATCAAAGACTGATATCTAACAAAGGCTTTATCATTGGGTTTTAGGGCTAATATTATTACACTTCCTAAAAGAGAAATGCAATAATCTCCTAGCTTTTCATGACATGGTAGCTATCTACTTATGCGTAGGGTGAAAAGAAAAGGCCCACAAGGAGAATCATATACAGAAAAGGCTCACACGAAGTTTTCCTATTTCAGAGGATTTGAAGTCACTTCTCACTTTCACCAATGGCAGTTCTAGTTAAAAATGGCTTCCTAGACTATCGAAATTCATAACTGAAGGCACGAAGGCGGCAATATATTTGTACCATTCTTAAACAGAAGGGAAAACTAGTTGTGTTGTTCAGCTATAATTCTGATAGCTGATGATGCAGCAGTGCCTGCAAACTCATTAACTGACCAAAGCTGCCAAGCTTGTGGATTTATTGATCAACCATACGTGATCTAAGCACTAGGAAACAATCATCAAAGAAAGGTTACACCTGAATTACTAAAGATAAAAGACAACAACTTACAGCTGTTAAAGCAGCCTCCGCTCCTTTGTTCCCAGCTTTCCCGCCAGCCCGGTTTAGTGCCTAAGTGTTTATTAAAATACAAATAAACATTTCATAAGCCTCAGCAAGAGCATGGACTATGCAGTATGTAAAACCATATCACATTCTCACCTGATCCATGTCTTCGCATGTCAGAACTCCGAATATACATGGGACTCCTGCAAAGCAATTCAGAATAAGAACAAAGTTAAAAATAAGGAACTTTTTAACAACAACAACAAAAAAAAAAAAAACGGATTCAGCATGATCAGCTGTCCAAATTTGATTTCTTGACAGACTGTTGGGCAGTACCAGAACTTATGAGAAATTGCAATTAAAAACACCATCTTTAACTTCAGGAAAGACGGTGTAACTTTCTATATGGGGAATTTTGCAATCCTTGGTTTCTTGACCACAAAGATAATTGTTAAGGGCGTGAAGGACACACATGGTAACGGACATCATGCTATTCCTTTTTTCATACCTTTCCAAGAGTGAAACCCCATGTAGATAAAGATTTATGAACCTTATCTTTATCAACCTTTAGAAACAACAACGATGCGTGTAATGAACTTTTCTCATATTTAGTGCTTGACAGAGATATGTTTGGCAACATGTTGCGTTAGAAATCGTTGGTGCCACAATGCCACTCAATCACAGGTCTCTAAGCTTGCTTGTGCTGTGTGGTGGACATATATGTGACAAATGATGCATAATCTCAGTTTGCTCTTAGAAATCCAAAATCTGCACTCTATCAAACCATAAACCTATCCTATTTTCAAATGCCAAAAACCCAGTTCACTGCAATCAGGTGTACGTGAGTGTGAGAATCAAATGCTTCTTTTCTGCTGCTGAAGCATATTGCCCATAGTGGGATGATCACAAGCCCTTGGTAATCATTGATTCCAAGTAGGAAGTCTTTCTTTTGCACAGGGCACAACAGCAAGCAAAACAGGATGATACACAATCCTGTACCTCTACTCCTCTAGCCTTCTCTAACCGATTGCGGAACTCAATTCATCAAACCCCCCTTTACCCGGCAGATTGTGGAACTCAATTATAACAATACAAAATGGATTCGCATGCCACTTCCGAATGTAGTTTAAACAAGAAAGGGAACCATGCTGCAATTGAATGGTATTGCAAATATCGCTCTCTCAAATAACCCAGCAAAACACCCAAAATATTGAAGAAAATGTTACTTCGCTAGTAAACATATCCAATTCAAAAGCGATAAAATGAAAGGACACCAATTGTGACTCATGAATATGCAAAGGAAACAAAAACAATCTTCATGCACCTGAATTGAGACCAGCTGAGAGTACTCCAGATGCAGCGGAATTTGCAACAGCATCATAGTGTGAGGTGTCACCTCTTATCTACACAGAAAATAGAGTTCAAGCATTACATCCTATTAAGAAGCTATAATGCCAAACCCACCTGACAAAAGAACAATCAAATCCAAGCAAGAAGCTACAGAGGAAGAAAGGGGAAACTTTTAATCGTTACCACAGCTCCAATACACAGCACTGCATTGTAGTTCCCCGATTTACCTAGCTTCTCTGCAACAACACCCACTTCGAAACTACCAGGAACCCACACAACCTGAAAATGACATTAAAAATTTGATGCTCGATAAAGAAGCATTTTTTAAAAAAAGGAGTGAACCACAGAATTGAGGAGGACTACAAGAGTTTTGTCAACATACATCGATGTCTTCTTCCTTGACGGAATACCTAGTGAAAGTCTCGATAGCTCCCTCTAAAAGCCGCCGAGTCACAATCTCATTGAACCGAGCAACGACCTTTTCCCCATGGAAATCCACAAACAATCAAATTCACCATAATCAGACAAGAGTATAAGTAAGCATCACACGAGAAAGTGAAATGATTCATCTAAAATTACGCAGTAGACCTAAATCGAGAACTCACCACGGCAAAACGGAGGCCCTCAGTTCGGTTAAGTGACCCGACGAGATGCCTTACAGCTTCCGGTGCTTCCAGAAACGACGAGGAGTGGCGGCGGCGCCTCCCCACGGCGGTAAGACTGGGAGCATTCGCAAACCCTGGAATTTTTTGTTAACCGAAATCAAACCGGCATTCCGATTTTATGATAGACAAAAGCAAATTCAAATGCGAAATCGATGAAATTGTTACCTTGCTGTGGCTGGGGCAAAGAAATAGAAGAAGAGGAAGAGGAAAAGGAGAGGCTAGTTGTTTTGTAGCGGCATCGACTGTGATTACTGTGCTGGGAAAGAGACGAGGATGCCAAGTACTGCTTAGTCGATGGAGACATTATCAGAGACGCCATTGATGGAAGAGCGAGGGAGACCAAACTTGATACAGAGAGATAGAAGGAAATACAGAATACGGAATGAAAGCACAACTGCGAGTTTATGTTTTGACTCCATTTCCGGCAAAAATAAGAATCTTTGTCAAACGGGACTATCCTGTACTGTCAAACCAGATTGAACCATGAAGTCGCTTTGATAACCGGTTGAGGTTTAATGGTTGGATTTGGTTCAACCAATTCGGTTTTAATCTCACTAATCCACATTCATATATTACCAAATTTCTTTAAAAGAAATATATGTTACCAAATTATCAATTATCATCTTCGAGCCCAGTTTTGGCGTGTTTGATTCAATTTTACTTGTTTCCGGAACAGTCCAACCAAAATGTATTCCAACAGTTCAAATGACTTATTGTAATCGGACCAGGTTGAACCGACCGGTCGAATACTGATCAGGTCGGAGCCACGTACAATTTTTTTTATACCGAAACGGAAAGTAATTTAGGTTTAACAAATGTTCACTTAAACGAGCCTAAACCACCATTACCTTTCGGTTGTACCACTAAATTATAATATATCCGTATGTGATTCGATACGATGTTATAATTTCATAAAACTGGATTGCAAATATCTGCACTTCTGTATGTGTCAGTCGACTGGTTCCTTCCTCAGTTGTCCACACATTTTGTCGAAAAATCAGCTTTACTCATCTAATCATTCAGCAGCTTTTCACAGTTTTTGGGCTCAAGAGTGTAGACTTTTTCCTTCCCATCTGCTCAATGCCATCAAGCAAGAAGCCAAATAGTATCAAGCTGCTCACAGAAGATCTGAAAGTTGGGAAAATATCTGATTTCTAGACTTAGAAAATGGAAGTAATGAGTTACATCTCACAGAGATCAAAGTAACTGCAGAAAAGAGCTTTAACATTAGCTTTACTTTTATATTGGAAACATATCTTAGCCTGCTTCTTGATCTCATCATGTTCCAGTCATAAAATGCAGTTGGTAGCAACGTCGTCTCGTTTATCCATTCGATCCTCAGCAATCTGATGTTGAAGGTTTCGCTTTGAATATCCTTTCTCTTGCCATACTTACCTGCAGAAGGTGAGAAAAAGTTCATTCTAGATAGCGTACAAGTCTATTGATCATAAAGTTTCAAAGGTGAAACATTGTGTTCTGCAGTTCTGGCAGTAAGTGTCACCTGGTGAAACAAATTAAAGTGTTTGCTAATTCCACTATTTTCATTTCCTCAAGCAGCAGAACCAAATACATCGCTCTAGGAAACAAGACTAATATCTGCACTGAACTAAGCAAACCTGTTTTTCCCAATTGGTGCAAAATGTGACCACAGCTAGAAGAAGTGTTTGCAAAGTAGCACCAATTAGAATCCCAATCCACAGCCCCTTTCCCCTTAGCTGGAACACAAACCCCAATAGACCAGCAACTGGAATCCCACAGAGATACAGTGCAGCCAGATTCACATATGCTCCAATGTGCTGCCACCCACATCCCCTCGCAACTCCTATTTCGTATCGACAAAACCAGTCACTTTGAGAAGGCAAGGAAGAAGGTATGGAAAGATGAACAGAGTTTAATGGTGGAGGAAAATTTGAAAAAAGAAACCTGAAAGGATCTCCTGTAAGCCATCCACCACAATAGAGAGGCAAACCAAGGGAGCCATTTTGGATACATCCTCCACAACTTCTGTCTCACCGCTGAATAAGTATCCAAACATCTGTCTTCCTGCAAACAAGATTCCACCAACTACAGCCAATTCTGCAACTCCCAGGATCATGATCGTGTAGACCGATCTACGAGCAGCTTGTGGGTTCCCAGCTCCTAGCTCGTTTGCAACCCGAGTGCTGCCATCATTGAAACAAAAATATCAATAGTGACTTAATGAAAGATGGCGTGTATGGCAAGAAATGTGGCAAACCTGACTGCAGCACCTAGTCCATATGGTATTGCAAAGAGTGTCCCAATTGTTGTGAGACTGTTAGGAAACCAAAGAAGGAAACTTTTAGCAATTTAAGTGAGACCCAAATGTTCAAGATTTGCATTATCTCAGAAGAACATGTACCAAATCGAGAGGACCGAAGTCTCGAGCTGTGGATTCGGCAACAACCCTGATAGCATGATGACAAACTCATATGACCACCATTGCAGGCTGCAGGCAGGGGAAAATATAAACCAAATTTAAGAACCTATCCATCAAAACATAAAATGGGAATAAGATTACAATTAAGGGTTTCATGTAACACTTTACCAAATCATGATTGCAGAAGGAATCGCAAATCGAAAGAACTCCCCGACCCCTCGAAACAACTCCATCGACACCGGAGCACGAGTCTTGGCACAAGTAGGAGAGAATGCCATGTAAAGAACTAGGAAAACAACATTCAACCAGTAGGATATCCCTACTGACAATGCTCCACCAAAGTTGTTCAATCCAGTCTTGAAGATCAAAACCCAACACAAAGGAACGTGGAGAAAGATGGTGACACAAGAGCACAACAACATGGGAGTAATCAAGCTCTGTGCTAAGTAGTACTTAACCAGTGGCTGGTACACCGCAGCAGCGAAAAACGCAGGCACGAGCCACCTAGTGAAGGCCCCGGCTTCATGAGCAATGACAGGATCCTGACCGATCAGCACCAACAGACTCTCCATGTTGAACCAAGCCAAGGAGAGAAAGATGCAGACCGATATCAACGAGAAGATGGCGGTGTATGTTTGCACTGCAAGTTTCCTGTACTGCTGAGCTCCATAGGCTTGTCCGTTGAGTGTCTCGAGACCACTTGACATCCCAACAAGAAGGCTGAAGCAGGTGACGTTGGAGAGAGAGATGGCGATGGCAGAGCTGGAGAGGGAGAGCTCACCTAGATGGCCAACCATCATCAGTGATATGATGTTCAACGCACCCATCGAGAGGTTGATGGCTGCCATGGGAAGTGCTATGGTGCATAATCTCTTAGCTTCCTGGATGTAAACATCCCACAATCCTTCTGAACACCCAATTCTTCCTTCTGGTTCCCTTTCTTGGGGAAGTAAGCTTTCTTCCATTTTTCTTCTCTGTAGTGAGATGTTACTACTGTTGTGTCTTAGTTCATAGCAATCCTGATCTGTTTTGAGCCAAGGTGATTAGCTATTAATCAAATGTTTTCTCCATCACTTGCATCAAATCTGAGTCTTGGTGGCGGTTTAGTGCGTTGTATACCACTTTCATCTTCCAGCTTTTTTCTTGGTCAGGGAAAAAGTTGCCTTTTCAGAGAGCACTAAAACAAAACTGGATTGGCATGTTGGGTATAAGAAAAGAAGTATTTGCACAAGGAACAAAAGCTTTGGATGAATTATAAGTACTTCTTCAAAATATCCTTAAACTTCACTCTTTACACTAACCATGTCAGTAAAAAATAATATCACGCAGTATGAGCTATGAAATGAAACGGAAAAACTAGTTAATACAAACTCCTCTGTACAAAGAACAAACAACCCAATGAAGAAATCTCAACGTTTTCCACTAGATCATTAAACCGGGTTTTCACTCAAACCAGCAATGGAGTCGTAACAGTTGATTCTCCTTCAAGTATCCTCTCCTTAGCATCACTCGCCTGTTTCTCCCAGTTAATGGTCACTGTAACAATAAACAGCAGCACTGTCTGTGTGAATGAACCGACCAGCACTCCGATCCACAGCCCCATTCCTCTAAGATCGGTCCAAAACCCTAACACGATTCCAACGGGGAAGCCACATAGATAGAACGCTCCGAGGTTAATGTAAGCTCCTATATGCTGCCATCCACATCCTCTGGCTATCCCCGAAAGAACCCCTTGCAGACTGTCCATTATAACCGACAAGCATATCAATGGCGCCATCTTAGTCACATAATCCACCACTTCCTTCTCATTGCTGAAGCTGTATCCAAAGATGTGACGACACATGAACAGGACACTGCTCAGCAGCAGTGCCCCAACTGCTGCAACAGACATCACGGTACGAACTGCTAGTCGCGCTGCGTCTGGTCTTCCCCTTCCTAGCTCGTTCGACACTCTGGTGCTGCAACACACAGAGTTTGTAACTTGTCAGGCAAGGCATTTCCCAAAACCTCGACAAACCGTTAAGATTGTTGGGTTTTTCGTCCTCCCAATTTGGGGGTTAGCTTTTCGATTAAGGGGTTTGGTGTTCGTACCTGGCTGCAGCACCGAGTCCAAATGGTATCGAGTATAGAGTCGCGATGGTGTTGAGACTACAGAAATGAAACAACAAGAACATCAGGTAAGAATGGATTTCTTGTGCATTAAGCTACAAGAAAAAAAAAACTACCAGTTACTTGGGAATCAAGGCATACCATACTGAGAGGACTGATGTTTCGAGCTGAGGATTCGGCAAGAGGCCCGAAAGCACCACCACAAGCTCAAACGACCACCATTCCAAGCTGCAACCAACGACAATGAATCAACATAAACTACACAGTCACAAATTCCATAATTAAATTGGCTATAGTTGTAACAATTTTACCATATCATGACTGCAGAAGGGACGGCGTAACGAAAGAAGACGCCCATGTCGCGGAACAGCTCCATCGAAACGGGGACTCTGGTCTTGGCACAGGCAGGGGAGTACTTGACGTAGAGCGCAAGCAACAGCAAATTCAGCCAGTTGGACAGGCTGATCGCGAGCGGCGCCCCGACGATTCCCAGTCCGGTCCTGAACACGAGAGCGTAGCAGAGCGGGACGTGGCAGCAGAGCGTGACGGTGGAGGAGACGAGCATTGGGACGGTGAGGCTCTGCGTCTGGAGGTATCGAACGATCGGCTGGATCAATGCGTAGGCGAAGAGGCAGGGGATGAGCCAGATTTGGAGCCTGCCGACTTGGTGAGAAATGGTGGGATCCTGGCCGACGAGAACGAGCAATTCTCGATGTTGAGCCAGAGGACGGTTATGGGAAAACAGGCGAGGAGGAGGCAGAAGACGGCGGTGTAGGTTTGGGTCCCGAGCTTGCGGTACTGTCCTGCTCCGTAGGCTTGGCCGCAGAGTGTTTCCAGTGCGCTTGACATCCCTATCTGCATTATGGTTAGCCGCGTAAACGAATCGATTTAAGTTGTCGAAATCCAACTCGTTTACGAAACGATGTAATGCAGCACAGAAAGAAACCGCGCGATGGAATGACATCGAATTCGCGAGGGGAACTATAATTGAAGTAATCAATTCGTTCCAAACGTACTCGTCGTGTAATTGAATTCGATATATAGTGTAGACCAAATCTTTAGCAGGTAGGCTGCATATTCAACTGTAGAGATTTGTAAATGATTTTTTTGGCCATTAATTGGAGGATTGGGTATTGGCTGAAAAATGTCAGTCCTACATTCGATCCATACATACAACAGCCATGCTCCTCATAATGTGGCCCTAGCTAGCTCCTAGAATTCAATTATATCCCATTCCCCACTCCATTATCATAATTAATTAATTTAAGATGTAGAATTTTATAGTAATAACTAGTCAAACAAACAAAAACAAAAAATGGGCGGAGAAATTTGTTAACAAAGTTTGCTTCTTCTACTAGCACTGAAAGGAAAGGGGTTGATCCAGCCAGCAACCTCGAGTGTTTTAGTCGCTTCACCATTTGAGCATAAAGGTAATCACGAGACATTATGCAAAAGTTTTTTCATAATTACTCATAAGTAATCAAGAGATATCATTTATTAATTGTCTTGTAAATTGTAATCGTTACTTTGAGGATCGGATTCATGCTTAAAAGGAGTAATTATTATCTGTTGCAGTACATTTAACAAAAAATTGAATGTATTTGTGTGAAAATTATTTAGATTTATATCTGTGATGAGAATTATTTAGATTTTAACTTATATTTTGAAAGTTTTACCGTAGAAGTGGTTCAGACTTCAAATAACCGTGGAGTTTGCATAGTATTTTTCTCCTTGAATTATTCCTTCTTACACCAACTGAATTAGATTCCCTATTTTCGCCCGTAAGAAAGAGGGTTAAGTTTGTTCCACTCTATAACCTAGTACGTTATTCCGATGCAATAAAATTAACAAAGAAAATTACGTGAATTTACATGAAAATTATTTTGATTTAACTTGTTTTTTAAATACTGTACCGCAGAAAATAACCATACCAATTACACTAAAAGACTCAAATACAGTGAAATTTGCATAGTATTTTCTCCTCGAAGCCATTATTTAATTACTCTACTGAACTAGATTCCCTATTCCCGACAGTTAAAAAAGAGGGTCAAAGTCGTTCCAATCTACCTAGTATGTGTATATACGGTCAGAGGCTAGGAAAGAAAACGTAACAAATTAATTTTCCACCGAGCGGAGTAACAATAGAGTGGCCCATTAGGTGGCTAGGAAGACCCTTTCTTTGTTGCCTACGGTTGTAGATACTTTTGATTTTAGTCGTTGGTTTGTTCTTGGGTTGTAAATTTTGCTAACTTTTTGCATTTTTTTGCCTTACTAATACAAGTGATCTATTGGTAAAAAAAAAAAAACTAGAAGATCGTTGGACTTACGAGGACGCTGGAACCGGTGACGGTGAAGAGCGAGATGGCAATGGCGGTGGCGGAGAGCTCCAGCTCCCCGAGGTGTCCCACCATCATCAGCGATATGAACTGCACCATAAACTGCGACAGGCTCACCGTTATCATCGGCCCGGCCAAGTACCCGACCCGCTTCAGCTCCTCCACCACCGACCTCCACGTCATCACCCCTCCGCCGCCTCCGCCGTCTTCATCACCTCCTACTGATTTTTGCGGCAGAAGCAACAAGCTCTGCTCCATGCCGTTGTTCTCAGCCTCCGCCGGCGACCAAACCACCACGCTGCTCATTGTATATTGGTCCTGTGTGTTAATGTGTGAGAGAGAGAGAGAGAGATGGCGTTAAAATGCAATGAACGGGGAGGTTATTTATATATTTATAATTTCTGGGAAGCACCATCTTTTGTTTATAGCAATTTTTATGGTTGCCAGTCGGATCTCGCTTCCGTCGACCGAAAAATTATATTAAATTAATAGCAATGATATGAACGCAAAAACAATGGGGGGGATTTAAATCCGATTAATAAGATTTCAGTAGACTGCAGTTGTTAGCTAGGCGGTGGTGGTAATATAAATTCTAGAGGCTCTGGATTTGCTTAATATATATTTCAGTACCCAACAACTCATTCAAGTTGGATGACAAGAAAGAATAAAGATCGATTAAACCAACTTGAATTTGGTTTGCTCAGTAGAGAGGGCAAAACTATGGCCACTTTCCAATTTGATACCTCGGCGTTCGCCGATTATTAGCTTTCATTCAACACACTTCTCATGATGGGGAAAAAGAATCCAATCATTTGTTGATATCCAACCGAATTTGAATCAATTCCGTCGGGGAAAAATTCCGATCGATATCATGATTTGTGCGTGGGTTTTCCCAGATCTTATCAAGGAGGTTAACGAATTTGGTGCGGTTTTAGTATTTTAAGCATCCGTACCGTACCCACTCGGATATGTGTTATAAGTTATAACTAGGTTCTGCACTTATTTAAACATTTTGTTCGTTCATCTCTCAAAATTATAATTTTATCTTATACCTCATATCTTTCTCATTTTCTCTCAGCATTACCTTCAACGTGACAAAGAAACTCTAATTAACGTTGACATTAGAAGAAATTTTTTAGATTAAGAGAGCATGTGAAATGACTAAAAATGAATTCATAATGTAGAATATGAATAAAATTTTACAAAAAATAAAAAATATTCAAAATGGATCTTGTTAGATTCTTGTATATTAAATAATTTTAATTTATTTTTAGTACGATATAATTGGGGAAAATTTATATTTTCTTAAATAAAATTAAAATATGGTAAAATATTCTTATTTTAAAAAAAAAATCGAAGAAGCTCAAAATCAAAGTTTATACTTTATGTTATACAAAATATTTTTCAACTTTTCAAAAACCAAACTTGTAGAGGTATTTGACTCTGTTTCAGCTTTTGAAACAGAAAAACACTTCTAAAAATCGGATCAAACATAGGAACTTAACCATTTTAGCAAAGCAAACTGGTAAAAGGATTTATTTAAAAAAAAAAACATATAAGAAGTGGGTAAGAAACATAAATCTTCTCTTAACAAAAAAAAGGCTTAAAACTTAAAAACAATGGATTAGTAGCTACTAGCTACGCGATCAGGTGCGGAGAATGGAGATAGTCTAATAAACCTGCTGATTGATTACTCCCACGGATTATCATTTTTGTAACTAATGGTAATGTGCTGCTAACCATCAGGACAGGAACCTCCCTTCCCTTTTTGTCCCCATTATTATTTCCCAAAGTAGAAGACAAAGAGAAAAGAAGAACAAGAATCTTCCAACTCCCTACGTTGTTGACCTATGTCTAACCTTTGACTCTCTGACTTCAACCTTTGAGTAGGGGAAAAGCAGAAACTTTGTTAACAGTCAGTAGTGACGGAGCCACAAACTCGAATGAGTGGGAGCTAAAATTTTACGCACATAGAATTCGAACTGATAAGGGGGAGGTTAACGCCATATCAACTACTATATGTTGTCAATTTATTACAAAATTTACATGTAATCTTACACGATTTTGAGAGTTGCGGGTGAGGCTGTAGCCTCCCCTGCCATTAATTAAGGTAGCTCCATCTATGGAAAGCCACTAAGAATTATCGGATATTTTCGTAGGGACGTTAAGATGGATTACAGATTGTTTGAGATTTGAAGAATTATCATTGTTGATTAAAAAAAATCGAGATTCCGAAATAAATCATTCATGTTAATCGAGTTCATCTCGAGACCTGGATTTGTAATCTCCAAATCAGAATAATAACAAAAAAAGATTCTACCATTAAATCAAGTCCTCGTTCGTCATTTTCATGTTATAGCTTCTGGTGTATGATAATCAGTGTGTTAAGCAAAACATTGTATCGTACACAAGCACAATATTACTATCTTTGTAACAGAAAAGTAACTGATTGTATTTCTTGTCGTCGTTGTGCGCATAATAAAGTCGATATCTCTAGGATTTTTTCTCTCTCTCTCATTCGTTGTCACATTTCCGTCTATATTATAAAGTCAACTGCGTTGAGACTTGCTCGATAATCATGCCTCTCCAGATTATGTCTACATTTATGAACAGGGGTAGAGATTTCCTAACGCGTCACCCACAAAAGTTTGCTTGGTTGACTGGATAATGTTGTTCTTTGGTAAACTAGATATATACGTTGTTAACTGTACATGATGCCCACGAGGCAACGTATTGGTCAATTCTTAACTGTGCATGAAACCCACGATGCGACTTTCTTTATGTGCCTTTAGATTCATGACCTGTTTTGGGTAGAAACTAGAAAGAAAGATTCATGACTTTTTTTTGGGTAGAAACTGATAGAAGGAAGATTCATGACTCTTGAAGAAGGCAAAATACTAATAAAGGAAAACTTGCCGGAAATGCAGAGAAACTGAGAAAGAGGGCAATGCACGTGGGAAACAGATTTCGCGGGATACCGGCCGGCCGGCGCCGCGTACATGTGGGATCGCATCACGTGGCTGGCCTCGGTGGTTCAACCGTCCATCAACCTCACCTCTTAAAAGCTCCCATTGTAAAGCCCAAGACAAGATGGGTCAACGAAGCCTTAATTGGTTGGGCCAGCCCATGCACTCTCAACGAACAGTCATGCATTGGATGGCGAAAGAGACCAATGTTTTTTATATTTGTTTTTCCAAGAAGCAGCTTAGATTGCATTGCAAAAAGACAATACAAGAGAGTTAAATACACATTTGAAATTGGAAACAGAGCTACTATAAAAAATAAAAAATATTGGAAACAAAGCAAGAGTGAAAATCCCAAAACAACCATTGTCGGGGTGAAGAAATGGATACACCAGCGACAAACAAAAAGACCCCCGCTGACCAAAGGGAGTCCATAACTTGCGCCAACCATAATGCATCAAACAAGGTTGTCAACCCGCGGGTTAACCCACGGGTCGACCCAATTTGACCCTGACTCGATGAGAAAAACGGATCGTACGCATCCGCCGGGCCGACCGCTATAAGGTATCGGGTTGGAGGTCAAATTGTGTCATTTTTTTCTTTAGTTTGCGAAATGTGCCTATTTTCCAAAAAAAAATTCGCCTAACTCAATCTTTGGAATATTAAGTTGAACATTTGAATATTTATGTTAAAGAAGTGTGTGTGAATTTTCACTATATGTTGGATCTAAGTACGATATGTTATTTTGGTGTAATATTATATGTTATAACTCATATGTTAGATAAGATTTGATATAATTTATGAGGATAAGTACAATATAATTCTTTCTATATTTCCGGGCCAAACCGGGCTAAAATGGTTGAGCCATTAACCCTTGACCCACTAGCTCGACCGGGTCCGGGTCAACCCGCGGGTTGACAACCTGCCATCAAAGCAATAAACAAGAAAATAGCTCGTCCAATTAGCACTGCAAATAAGTCGAGCTGCTTGTGAGCGACTCGAAATTCGGTTCGGGAAAAACTAGTTTGAAATTCAATTCGTTCACTAACAAGCAGAGCTTGAGCTAAATTTTATGTTAAGCTCGTGAAGTTCGCGAGGTTGCTCGACTCGATGACTTGTTGAGGTCAACTCGTGAGCTGACTCATTTACAGATAATGAGATGTCTCAACATTGTGGCTAGAGAGCCAACTTGATCATCGAGTTATGAGCAAATCGATCTATGTCTTAGGAGTTGGACTTTGATCATTCATAGGATTGTTAAATTATATATCTCACCCAATATTAAGTTTAACATGTCAAACATGTAAGAAAATATGTCTTATATTTTCAAGGGTAAATACAATATAATAGTCAAACCTTTCATTTAAAAAAAAATAATAGCAATATATTTTTGAAAACAATTTAATAGAAAACAAAAAACCATCAACTTTTTGTCCGGTCAACTGTTAGTTTACTCTGACGTGACAGATTTTTTGTTGAGTTGGATGTCAATTGGTGGCGTGGCAAGAAGTCAACCATTTGATTATGTCATATGCAATGTAGTCAAAATCGCGCTTTAAAACTTAAAAACTTACGATTTTACATTTCTAGGTCACTAAAATGATTCTACACAAAATCTCCATTTTTATAACTTATGTAGTTAAAAACTCGCTTTAAAACTTAAAAACTTACGATTTTACGCTTCTAAATCGCCAAAACGTTTCTACGTAGAAACTCGTTTTTAACTACATTGGTTACATGGATATTTATTAATTTATATAATCATTATTTTGACAAAGTAAAACAAAGAATAAACAAAAATAATCTTATCTAATTTTAGTTTCTACTCTCTACTTCATTTTTGACGAAAACCTCTGTTCTTGACGATTCCAATTCCAGTTCCCATTTCGACTTCCGTCTTGTTCTTCTTCTTCTTCATGTGTTGTTGGTCGGAGTAGATTAAAATACTTGCTAAGAAGCAACCTTCTCCCTGTTCCAGCTTCTTGTTCTTGAATTGGGGAAAACCTATTTTAGAATGAGAAAGAAAATGAAGCGACCTTCTCTCTGTTCCTATCATTGTCGCTGCCACTCTGTTTCTATTGCTGCACATTGTGCACGGTCCTAGCAGATTCTTGGCCACTCATCTTTACGGTTGATCGATGGGCCTTAGTGCTCTAATACCATGAGAAATTGAACAATCACAAGCGAGAAAACACTAAAAGGACACAAGGGTTAACCTAGTACCTCGACAAGTACGTAGGGACTAATCCACGAAAGAGTCTGAACCTCTCTTATTATTGCTTGTGTTACTTAGGTGGTTGTAAGCCAAGTACATGGTTAATATAACCTTTGTCACTATCACTCTATCAGTATCTGCTAGGGTTTTACTAACACCCTACGTATGTCGACCAGTGATCATATACCGTTTACTAACACCCTCCTTCAAACTCAAGCCATTCAGATAGGCTTGAAGTTTGGACAGACACAGGTCTGGACACCGTGTGCTTAACAGAAACAGATGGGGGTCACCGGGAATCGAACAGAAGACCTCACAATCACAGAAGGCTCTGATACCATGTCAAGAACCAGTTGATCCCAATAACTCGAGTTGTTGGGAGAGGTTCAATCGTGAATCATATACCGTTTACTAACAGTGTCACCTCTGATTCCTCTACAAAAAGGCACGTTGTGGGAATCTATTTCTTGATATTCATGGTTTCCCCTTTTCTTGTCATATATATTCCTCAACAATATATAAATACAAAAGTCTAAGTTACATTCTAAAAATACCCTAATATACTAGTTCACAGCAAAAGTAAAAAAAACACCCTAGCTAGCGTTTTCACTGCAAACGCACTATCCTTCAACAATCATCTTCCTAGCATTGCTCGCCTGTTTCTCCCAGTTGGTACACATCGTCACAACAAACAACAACACCGTCTGCGCAACCGCGCCAACCAGCACGCCAATCCACAGCCCCATCCCTCTCAGATTCGTCCAAAACCCTAACACGATTCCCACCGGAAACCCGCAAAGATAAAACGCTCCGAGGTTGATGTAAGCACCAATATGCTGCCATCCACAACCTCTGGCTACACCCGAAAGAACACCCTGAAGGCTGTCCATTATGACCGACAGGCACAGCAATGGCGCCATCTTGGTCACGTAGTCCACCACTTCCTTCTCGTCGCTGAAGCTGTAGCCGAAGACGCGGCGGGACATGAAGAGGCTGCTGCTTACGAGGAGCGCCTCGGCCGCTGCCACGGACATGACGGTGCGTACCGAGACTCGGGCTGCTTCTGGGTTGCCACGTCCTAGCTCGTTTGACACTCTAGTGCTGCAACATATAACGTACCACGTATTAGTATCTCGACAACCAGTCAGTCTCAATAACTTAACATTTGTGGACGAGAGAGAGATGAGTTTGAAGCTATGTATGTATACCTGGCCGCAGCACCTAGTCCAAATGGTATTGAGTATAGAGTTGCAATGGTGTTTAGACTGCAAGATGACGAAAGGACATTAGATCAACGGAAATTAAGCTGCAAAAAAATTCGGAATTTTCCCTGGTCACCAGAAAAAATTACACAATACAACTCTTTTGCAAAAAAAAATTCCCAAAATACAAGAGTTTGGAGCAGTTCGCTCCGGTGTCAAAGCGTTCTACAAAACCAAGCGAATCAGCGTTGAATCTCTGTGGATCGTGGCTGATACGAGTGAACCAGTGTGGGATCGTTGGAGGGAGAAGCAAACCACACTGATCGCTCACAAATACTGCGATCTAGCCCCCCAAAAATCACTGGACACTTTAGCGACCTACACCTGACCTAGATCGAAACTTTCAACAAACATAACTTTGTGGTTTCGAAGATCTCGAAAAGTTTGCGGTAAAGAATTTCGCTATAATCGGATAACCAGGTGCAAAGTTACGCGCGTTGGAAATTTCAACCTAGCAATCAGGTGTAGATCGTGGGGTTCATCAGCGATCTGTAGTAGTTTGCTTGATTGTGTTGCGGTCCATGTTGAACCGAGAGTGGTTCGCTTTGGGTTAGTTGTGATCCTTGTTGTTCCAAGGCTGGTTCGATTAGGTCGGGCGCAATTAGGGGTCGTTTGGATGAGTTATTCGTATGAGTTATTTGCATCCAAATAACTCATTTTGAGTTATTTGGGTGCAAATAACTCGTTTGTCTGTAAAAGTTGATGGTGAGTTATTTGTACTTGAGTTAATTTGAAATAACTCATTAATGAGTTATTGTCAATACCTCATAGGGGTAGTTATTGTGAAATAACTCACAAATACCACATTCTCATTTTGTGAGGAATTCCACTTTTATATTAACTCGTTACACAACAACTCGTCCAAACTTAAGACAATTCATGTAAGATCTCCAATGTCAAGCTAATCACCACCTAGTTCGCTTGACACTGAAGCAAACTACTCCAAACTCTAGTATTTTAGAAAATTAATATTTGCGAAGTGTTGTATTTTGATAATTTTTGTTATTAAGCCTTATATCAAGGGGGAAAATTCAGAAAAAAACGAAGGAAAGAAGGCTTACCATACTGAGAGGACTGAGGTCTCAAGCTCAGGGTTTGGCAAGAGACCAGAAAGCAGCACCACAAGCTCAAACGACCACCATTCCAAGCTACAACAACAGCCAAAAAAAAGAGACAAATATGCAAAGATTAATTATCCAGGAACGTATGTATAGTTAATAATAATATACACCTGAGACAAATATGTTAAGTTGGCTTAACAAAGTTTACCAGATCATGACTGTGGAAGGGACGGCATATCGAAAGAACACACCGATATCCCGAAACAGCTCCATCGACACCGGAACCCTAGTCTTGGCACACGAGGGAGAACACTTGACGTACAAGGCAAGGATCACAAAGCTCAGCCAGTTCGACAAACACATGGCCAGCGCCGCCCCGACGTTCCTCAGCCCGCTTTTAAACACCAGCCCCCAGCAGAGCGGCACGTGGAAGCAGACCGTGACGCCAGCTGTCGTGAGCATGGGCGCGACCAGGCTCTGGGCCTGGAGGTAGCGGAGAATGGGCTGGGCCAGCGCGTAGGCGAAGAGAGACGGGACGAGCCAGATCTGGAGCTTGCCGACCTCGTGGGAGATGGTTGGGTCCTGGCCCACGAAGATGAGGATGGACTCCATGTTGAGCCAGAGGAGGGTTAAGGGGATGCAGGCTAAGAGGAGGCAGAAGACGGCCGTGTAGGTTTGGGTTCCGAGCTTCCGGTACTGTCCGGCGCCGTAGGCTTGGCCGCAGAGCGTTTCCAGCGCGCTTGACATTCCTATCTGCATGCATGCGAGCGAATAATAATTATAACACAGATATCGTTTGCTTGTGGAATTTGGGAGATTAATTGACCCCAATTCTCAAGCTTTATGAAATTTGCACAAATACATTGTTTGCTGAGGGACACAAATTCGTGGGCGCACATATTTGGATTACTTTTTTTAGATCCAAATTCGTGGACCACACACAGATTAGGAAATCCCACATTTCATTTGAGATTTGATAGTAGAAGGCAAAAATGCGAGACAAATCCATCATATATCCATGATAAAAGTCAACTAAACAAACAATGTATTTTCCTAAATCCATAATGCAAAAAATCCATCGTAAATTCAAAGTTTCTTAAAACTCAAAACCCTAATTTTCAAATCCAACAAGCAAACGAGGTAGAGTTAAAATTGGGTCTCACTCACTTTTAATCTTGTAAGAACTATGTCAAACCCTTTTCTGTAGAGTCGATCTATAAAACTGATCCGTCCCGCTCTTATTTCGTTTTTTTTTTATATTGTCTTACCCTCTACAATCAGATCGGGCTGAGCCAGTGAGTGGGCCCAAATTAATCAACACAACAGATTTTTTTTGAAAACTACATTTTGGAACTCAAATTTATTTTTCTTACATTGAGTACCAGAACTTTTATTTTTTACGATTAGATCTAAGAATTTTGGTGAAATGTAGTATTTTTTATATTTGTTGCCTACCTTACATTATGATATCTAAACTTTTAAAACCCTAACAAACAGCTTTAAAGTGTTGGTATGAGAAATTTCATATCACTTGCTGTTATGGTTCATAGAACCAAAAAGGTGACGGCCGGACCCTAAGTTAACCCGACCATACTCAATCCTTACGACATCAAAAGATGACTCGCCCTAAACTAACCTAGCTAGTCCAACTATATCACGATCGGATTAATAAACCTCTAGAGCCAAGGTTACCGCTCCTCCAGTATTCACTAACACGATATGTGATATGTATTACCAACCAACAGGAGAGACAGAATTTGATTAAAGAAGAGTTATATATATATATAGGAAATCGTACCAGAACGCTGCCACCGGTAGCGGTGAAGAGAGAGACGGCCATGGCGGTGGCGGAGAGTTCGAGCTCGCTCAGATGTCCCACCATCATCAGAGATATGAACTGAATCAAATACTGCGACATATTCACGGCCACCATCGGACCGGCTAGGTAACCTACTCGTTTCAGCTCGTCCAACAACACCCTCGACGTCATCGCCGCCGTCCCGCCGCCGCCGCCGGAGACCCATCCGTCGGCGGCGTCGTCATTATCATCGTCGGCTGCGGATGCTTTTGTGGGCGTAAGCAGTAAGCTCTGCTCTATCGTTATGGTGCTGCATCGGCAATTCCGATCATCATCTTTCTCCAACGACGTCGTCGTCGTCACCATGGTGGAAGAATTGTATTAGCTCTCTAATCTTTGGTTAATTAGCTTTTTTTTTTTTTGTGATGGAGTGATTAGGTGAGGAAAGTGGGGAGGGAAGTGTATTAATAATGTTAACACACTCCGGTTTTCCTCGGATGAGTCGGTCACGTTTCCTGGACAGTAATTTGAGATCCTATACAATTGCAATACACATAACTAATATCCTTTTGTTAAGTTGAAAACAACAATACGTATAGTATATTTATAGGTTGTTATTCATTTTTTTATTTTTAGTTTAATTCAAACAAAATCCAAATATTCGGAAAGGGACAGAAATAAGTTTTAATTCGGATTTTATATTTTTTAAGGAATTATAATAGTTATACTCTACATAATATTATACAATTTGATATAGATTAGGGTAAAAATATGTTAGTCATTACATTTTTAATACCACAGTATACCATGAAATGTCATGGTCGCGCAGAAGATTATGTCACGATGGTAGAAGTGCTAAAAGTTTACTATAGTAATAGGATGGTGGTAGACAGTGGCATAAGTAGTTTAGAAGTTATACTAACATTTTCTAGAAACAAAAGAAAAAAATGTTAGTTAACGCATTTTTAATTAGCACATGATTGCATGACTAATATCCTTTCGTTCTAACTAATGGTTTAAAAATTCATACCTGTATTCTTTAGTTTCTTGCGTGCGTTTTTGGAGATTTCTTGTATATGCATTCTAGTGTTTCTGACATGCATTGTTGTCTTTCCGGTACGCATTTTAATATTTTGTGTATGCTATTGGAGATTTCTTGTATATACATTATAGTACTTTTTGTATGCATTCTTGTGTTTCTGACATACATTGTTGTGTTTTATGGTACGCCTTCTAGTGTTTATTTATGGTATGCATTCCTTACTTTTTGCTATGCATTACTTAGCTTGAATATGATTATGGCTACCAAAAATTGAAAATCATAAATTGAAAATTAAACATATTCAAAAGATAAAAATGAATATAAATTGGATGTATTTTTCCAATGTAGGGTTTCTCCCTATTAATTACTCCTTTATTATTTATATTAGTGTTATTAGCATCATAATAACACTTTGGATATCATTTGTACTATCTTTGCAAACATTTAACCAATATATATCATGGTGGCATAAAAGTGTACACCATAGTGGTAGGTTGTGACAGGAATTTACAATAGTGTTAAGATGGAGGTAACTATGGCAAATGGATCTAGATAGTCCTCTAATTGATCTGGAAAGTTTTGGCACAAACTATATACAAAATAAATAGTATTTTGTATATCACAATGAACTCGTTTCTTATGTGGAAATTTTTAATTAAAAAATAAAAAAAATACAAACCCATTAAGAAACATAGAAATTAAAAATAATTTTTAGCCTCAACCATCATATCCCACTTAACTCAAAATCCTGGGATGATTATTTACATAAGCGTAACCTATGAACCCTCCACCCAAAAATCGGCCACAAGTCTTGTAGTTGGAAGCACGCAAATTAGCTGACAAATCACCCAAAAAATGGGCCACAAGTCTAGTGATTTGAAGCATGCAAAGTAGATGATAAATGACCATCATATTTAGGGTCAATGTTGATGATTTTTCTTTTATGCTCTTTATGGAATGGGAGAGTGAGAATTAGGAAGTCCGCAGAGATTACATGATATCGTTGAATCATAAGTTTGCTGATAATGTTAAAGGTATCACCGACAATTAAAAAAAGAGTTAGGATTGAAAAATCCACAAGAATAGCATCGAGTACTTTAATTTGGATTGCAATGATCACACGGTATTGTTGGATCATAAGTTTGCTGATAATATTCAAAGTATCATCGACAATTAGAGGAAGAGTGAGAATTAGGAAATCCACAAGAATAGAATCCAATACTTTAATTTAGATTCCAATAATCACACAATATCGTTGGATCATAAGTTTGTCGGGTATTACGGATATAAAATATTTGTTTGATATAAGCTTCCTTTGAATTACTAAGGAATCCTAATTATATACAAGAGTGAGTGCAAGTACAACAAGAATAATGCAAAAAAAAAAAAAAAAACATAAATTGGAGGACAAACCAGGATCGATGACCATATATATTCTACCCGAAAGTTCTTGAAACCAAAAAAAGGATATACAGAAACAAGTCCCTTCCATTATGAGAAAATAAGATGGGATCTACTTAAAGACGAAAAAATTAACAACACACTCGCTTCAAAATTTTACTCAAAACAACTCATCAACGGATGAACATCCTGCCATGGCTAGTTGCCAGTAGAAACTAGCCAACCTTTGCTCCCTCTTCACTTCTTCCGTCTCTGCAACCATCCAGTTTCCAGGAGAAAGAGGCTTTGTAAGATAAAAAAACCAGTTGCCCTGATCAGTATCACTTGTCCTTGGACACATAATGCAAACTCCAGATTCACAGTGGAGAATCTCCAGATTTCTAGTGTTGGGAATGAGAGTCCAAAGGATCATCACCTTCACCTCCAGTTCATCTCTTCAAATCAATGTGTGCGTAATCGTCGATCCCCCTTCAAATATCCTCTGCCTAGCATCACTTGCCTGTCATGGAGCATATATATATATGTAAGGGAAATTGGAATTGATCCAAAGTTTTCTTTTAGAGCATCATGTCAAACTGTTAAAAAAGAGAATCGAAATTGCAGCATACCTGTTTTTCCCAGTTGGTGCATATTGTAACGATGAAGAGCAGAAGCGTTTGTGTAAATGCACCAACTTGAACTCCAATCCAAAGTCCCATCCCTCTCATGTTTGTCCTGAAACCCAATAGAACGCCAACAGGAATGCCGCAGAGATAGAATGCGCCGAGGTTGATGTAAGCTCCTATGTGCTGCCATCCACAACCTCTTGCAATTCCTGACAAACAAAAAATGAATGCATGTGAGAGGACGAATACTTCATCTAGCAATAGAGACGTAACAAAACGAGATGGATTGTTACTCATACCTGAGAGAACCCCTTGCAAACTGTCCATTATAACTGACAAGCAAATCAGGGGAGCCATCCTTGTGACATAGTCTATCACTTCCTTTTCATTGCTGAAGCTGTAACCAAAGACATGACGGCATGCAAAGAGGGTAATGCTCACTAGAAGCGCCTCGGCCACTGCTACAGACATCACTGAACGTACTGCTATACGTGCCAGCTCTGGTTTGCCCCTGCCTAGCTCATTTGAGACTCTAGTGCTGCACAAGATTAATTGTATTGGAAACACGTCAGTTTAGAGATTAAAATGATGCATCCATATATTCCAGGAGTTTTTTAAGCTTACCTTGCTGCAGCACCAAGTCCATATGGTATTGAGTAAAAGGTTGCAATTGTTGTGAGACTGCAAAGGAAAAACAACAGTAAATACGAGGTATCAATGTCCATAAAGCTTGGAAATTATGAGTTATCGGTTCCAGGTTCAGTTCATTTGATATTTTCAGGGCATACCAGACTGATAGGACCGAAGTTTCAAGTGCAGGATTTGGCAGGAGGCCCGAAAGCAGAACCAGAAGCTCAAACGACCACCACTCCAGGCTACAATAATACAACAGGAGAGATAGAACGATTATGCTTTTTCTAAAACAAAAAATTGGATATTTCTAATGGAAACAAAAGGAAATGTGATAAGAAAAATTTACCAGATCATTACTGCTGAAGGGATGGCAAAGCGAAAGAACTCGCCAATGCCATGGAACAAGTCCATCGAAATGGGGACCCTAGTTTTGGCACAGGAAGGGGAGAACTTGAAATAGAGTGCAAGCGTAGCAAAGCTCAGCCAATTCGACAAACACATTGCCAATGCTGCTCCCAAGTACTGCAGCCTAGTCCTGAACACTAGAGCCCAGCAGACAGGAACATGGAAACAAAGGGTAACCACAGCAGTTATAAGCATGGGGACGATCAAGCTTTGTGCTTGGAGGTACCGAACGATGGGCTGAGACATTGCGTAAGAGAAGAGACAAGGTATGAGCCACATCTGGAATTTCCCAGCATCGTGCGATATGGCGGGATCTTGCCCTACGAGAAGCAGTATCTTCTCCATGTAGACCCACAGGATGGACAGGGGAACGCAGACCAGTAGTAAGCAGAAGATGGCAGTGTAAGTTTGAGTTCCAACTATTCGATATTGCCCGGCTCCAAATGCTTGCCCACACAAAGTTTCCAGTGCACTTGACATTCCTAGCTGTCCTCCCCACAGAATAAATCACATAACCCATCAGCTCTTTCAAATAAAGTGATGAATATGACTATCATCACTACTGCACATCCTCACCTCTACGACTGGAAACCAACCCAGGCTCCTAATCATGTTTTTCATTTTCCAATCTTACCAACTCACAAGTCATAACAGTTCAGTTTATGATATCAATTATAGTTCTTGGTATACATACAGGAGATATGTTACCTTTGTGGTAAAAGAGTGATCAACGTTTTTAATACTGACCAAAAGCTAACTTGCATCAATGATCGAAATTTCAATCCAAGAGAAAACGAAGGTAGTTATTATTGAAAGGGTACTGACTGTGGCCTAACATCATCCACATGAGAGATAAAGCAAAAGAAAGAGATAAGCTGAAAGCAGAGAAGCTTTTCATGGACAAAGAAAGGCTCATTCATGAGAACGGAAAAGAACATCTGGTGGGTTTATGTAACAAAAATGTTGCGAGGCCAATCAATACTTCATATCCGTGTGTTTGTGTGCGCCAGCACATGGTCTAGTGAAATCACATCAAGAAGTATAGCTCAACACAGCAGTGTAAGAATGAGACTTCAAGAGAAACAAGTACTGTGGAAATCATCTGCAGAGTACAATTATGCTGGGGACAGAACAAGACAGCGGCGAAAAAGAAAGCGCACCATTGGAAGAGAAAAAAAAGCCCAAATAAAAGTAAACAACTTGAGAATTGAGATGGTGAAAGAAGGGGGCAAGCTTTACAACCATGGAAACATGGTCAGAGCTTTACTACAAATAAATTAAAGCATCATGGAGGCCCGGCCTAGTGGGTAAGTATCGTGGCACTTTCTCAAACAAAACGACTTACGGAAACCAAGCCGGCATCTAAGACCATCCCTAATCAGCTTCATGGATCGTTCGTTCTCCGTTTACACAATTTCACGCCCAAATCAGACCTACGAACTCTAACCCTAATGTGATAATCCAAGCAAAGAGGTTAGTCAATTGATAATGTACATACAACAACATCGACCCAGTTCAAATTTTGGGCCAGAGATCATCCAATTATGCAATCAACCGGTGGAAGAACAGTGGACAAAGAGATTTCCGCAACATGCATATACGCCAAATTCAAAATGGCGACGGTGATCAGAGTAAACAGAGGCAGAGCAATCATAGAGGTAGGGGCACAAGAGTACAAATGACAGTGCGGCAGAAGAACACGTGACGACGGTTGTAGAAAAGGGGGGAAAAGGGTGAGAGGAAGGGAAGAAGATAAGAAACAGGGGAGACTTACGAGGACGCTGAAACCGGTGACGCTGGAGAGAGAAACGGCTATGGCGGTGCTGGAGAGCTCCAGCTCCCCCAAGTGTCCAACCATCATCAGGGAAATCACCTGGAGGAGGTACTGGGAGAGATTCACCGCCACCATCGGCCCGGCTATGTAGCCCAGCCGCTTCAGCTCCTGGATGAACACGCTCCACGTCAGGGCGCCGTCGCCGGCGGCGGAGGACTCGTCGCCGCCGTCCGATCGTGACTTCGGGGACACGAGTAGCCTCCGCTCCATTCCGGTGTTGTTATCCGACCCCATTCTCGTGGCTTCGGTGAAATTCGATTAGTGGAGAGAGGAAGTCTTGTTGGTAGTCGTCGCCGCCGGAGGCAGGGATTGTGGAAATTCAGGTCATCCGCCGTCGGTAAATATTTCTGTTGGACTTCCGCTGAAAAAAATGCTGTTTGGCGGAAACCAGAGTGAGAAAAAGTGTGAGACTTGGTATTTATATATTGTTGTTCCACAATTTGTATTTTGAATTTGTGTTTTATCTTTTTGTGGAAACAATTCTATTTTCTGTCGAACAAAAAACCTTTCAGGGGCATTTAAGTCCTTAAAACTTTTGTTAGGGCAATATTGGTACAGTAATTTTGTTGAATCAAGTATATAAATAGTACATAGATTAAACCGGTAGAATATTTAAGTAATTAAGCTAATCTTGGTATGCACTAAGTGGAGCATAATTCCATTCCCACATCAAATTGATAATTTAATCGAATTGGATCAAACAAGAATGAATGTTTTTTGTTGTGGTTTTAATTCTGAAATTTAGATTTTCTCTGAGATATATCGATCACAATGAGAAGAAAAAAAAATGAGTGGACAAAATCCAACATAACCATTTAATATTTATGTAGAATCATCTAATTCGGTCGAAAATCCCATAGTAAAAATAAGGCCTTAATCATTTCTATAAAATTTTGTTTGCAACGGTGGTAATAAGGATGTTTTTCTCTTTTTTTAAAAAAAAACTGTATTTATAAGATTGTATCATATCGTACCTGTTGAATTATGTATAAAGTACTAAGTTGGTATACTAACTTTCCATGCTCTATCTCAATCAAATTCCAAAACTTTGTACCGTATTGGTATGTCCCATAAAATGATTTTACGAATTTGAATTTTTCAGAAACCCCAATACTCTACTCGATTATGCTCATATGATTTTAAGAAATCTTTTGATTGTTCATCATCACAAATACATGATTGATTTCGAATTCGTCCTCGAAAACTGAATCCAGAGAGTTACGGACACAAACAAAATGAACCGCACGAAAAAAAACTCGCAATTAATAAACCTCGTACGAAACCCGTAGCACGTTTGATGGAGCGAATCATATTTACCTCTTGATCGAGAAAACAATCTTTCTTTTTTGCTGGAAACCCGACGGTGTGGTGGCCGGAGAAGAAGATCGTCGGATCCGGCTTTTGATTTTCGTCGCTAAAAATCCCGATGGAACTATGAAGAACGAATGAGAGGAACAATTACAATGTGCAAAAAGGCTGTGGCTTTAAATTCAAGTGAGAGAAAAATGAATGGTGGTGGTCAAGGCCAAGTCAATTCCCCCCAACCACAACCGAAGGTCAACAAGACGACGACAGCCGGGAAAATAAAAGCTCGATGGAGAGAAGTGGAGAATTCGTATTCTTCCAACCAATAAAGAATGAAGTGAAAGGGAGTGATTGCCTAATTAAACGGAAGAAAGTGCTAAATATTAGGGAGGGAGGAAGGCGATTAAGCTTAATGATGGGGGGAAATGACAAGAGTTTTAGACAAAGGGGAATTTGCTAAATCTAGATACTAATATCCCTCACGATATGTTATTTAGATGTGTAAAAAGATAGTATCTTATATTAGATATTCGATTTATGGTCCAGATAAGTTGCATAAACGGGTATGCATAACTAGATGTGGAAATGTGATAAGTAAGAACATGGTTGCAATGGGAGAAAAGGGAAGTGAAATGAGCGTGGATACCGACCCCTCCAACTCGGCGGCCCCACCGATCTAAACACGAAAGTGATCGTCGTTTTGGGAGTCATTTTTTCCTCGGATGGGCTTTTGATGATTCTACTCGATTAAGTTGCTTGAGTTGGTTTATGTGTTGTTTTTTTTATGCACAAGTAGACCCGAAATAGCACAAGCAAGACGTACCTGGCTATGATCAATCGTTACTCAGCACGAGAAATTGTCTAACTCCCTTGAGTTATCCCGTTAAAACAAAATCAAACTCTTTATTGAATAATCAATCACAAAAAAATTACAACGAGAAATTTAAAATGAAATTCGACCTATCTCCCAGTAGTACTATTGCTTAACGTCCTTAACCTAGACCAAAACATGGGCTGCCTCCCATGAAACGCTCTTTCATTTATGCCTTTGAGCTAGGGGGTGTATTGGATCAAATTAGAATTCAGTTCTTCCCGAGTTCAAATTTTTGGCGCGCCCCAGATGTACTCCCCATGCTCATATTCCTCCCTAGAATAGAGTGTGCAAGACTGCAATTTTAATGCCATGAAAGAAAGAAGGTTATGAAAAGGCTCCATCTATTACCCATCTTAATTGGGTTTGCAGAACACATGAGGTATTGTTTATCCCGAGAGCGGTTCTAGTCAGTAATCTTATGATCAATAATTATGCATAATCTGCCACGCCTCTATGTATGGAAGGCCTCTAACCCTTTTTTCTATAAATTTTAACCGGCTATATCTCTTTTTTTTTTAGTCCTAATTTAATTTTTTGCATCGATAAATTATGATCTTCAAACTGATATTCACTTTGATATATTATTTAAACAAAAAAATTCGTGACATTTAGTACCGGTCTATATTAAGGTGGTAATGTTTGGTATCACATAAGATCATACCACGTGAAATGGAAGTGTATCATGGTGGTATGAACATACCATAGTAAGAATGGTTGAATACATCATTATAAAAAAAAAGGATGGTTGAATACATGATAGTAGGAATATACAAATTGTCATATCACATTCATCATTGTTTACCACAACAAAGTGTGGTAACAAATAATATGAATTTTTTTTTAACAAAATATACTAAAAATGAATCTCATTTTGTAAACTACAACGAAAGAAAATAATAGCCTATTGAGAAAATTAATAAAAATAAAATGCCATCAATTTACACCACTCAAATCTGGACTTTTCTGAATGTTATGCGCCTGTACCGTTTATGTTGCACTGACCTGGAACTGGAATTGGAAGCTGCTCCAGACAAATCAGAATCTTCAGTTCAGGCGCCGATTTTTTGTTGAATTGGCTTCTGAGACGCCGTTTCCCTTGACCCTCATTTGTTCTTTCAATCTTTCTCAAGCACCACGACGACGACAATGGCAAACCGGCGCTCCTCGATTTCCTCGACGTCGACGGCTCCCTCGCTGACATTTGACAGTAATTCTCATCCTCCGATTCGAGATTCGATGCGTTGGCTTGGCTCGGTACCTCATGGAGGCTAGGCATGATCCATTGGAGTGTTTTGAACTTTTGATTCAGTCCATGTGCTCCTCGAATCTTGTCATTTGGCCGAATCCCTAAAATGGTGAATTCCGTTTCTTCGTTGGGACGATGTCTGCGGTACCCTAGGTGATTTCGAATTTCATGAGTTCCCGACTCTGGAGCGTTTTGAGAAGCTGGTGTTTGGTAAAAGGTTAGCCCTAATTCTTCTTCTTCTTCAAATACAACGTGCTAGCTGATTAGACACCTTCTGCCTGAGCTTGTTTGCACTCACCTGACGCCAAAGCTCTGTGGTGGTGTTGCAGATGCATGAGTGATGATGTACATTAAGCATGGTTTTAATATGAACTATTGAGGAGTCTGAATCATTGATAACTAAGGACAAGAAACCAAAGAAAGGTGAGGCTGTTGTTGCGTGATACTGAAGTCTCAACTCTGCTGTTCTTTTACATAGTTTGCTTATATGCCCCTCTTGTTTTGTTGGGTGTAATCTCAGGTCTTCATTTCAAATAGGGGATGGGAAGTGATGCTACCTATTTTATTTGGATCACTTTTGGGCATGATTCCCCACTTCGCGTTTGGAGATGACTGAGTGTAACACTCTCATATATAGGTAACTTTCTATGATCCTTTCCTCCTTAAAAAAAACTCCGCCGTCCTTATAATTGTCACTCTGTATTCTTATGGTAAACATCTAGATAATTTTATAGAAAAGTAAGTAGTTGTCTGGATGATTGCCTTTTATCGTTTTTTGTTATTGCATTTCAATGCCTTCTTGTCATTTAAATAGGCTTGTTGGCTATGATTGGTATTATGAAGATAAGAACTCCAATATTTTCTCTCGGCAGAATGTTGGAGCTGGAATCAACCCGTTGAAAGAGAAAGGTACGATGGCAACCTACCTTGATTACATTTATAATTTCCCTATGCAATGAACTCCATGAGAAGTTTAAGTTTAGTTTTGGTACACATTATACGAACAAAAATGTGAGCCCTATATCAAAATATATATACTAGATTGGGGACCATGCTCAATGTCTTTCTGTCTATAGGGGGAAGTGAATTGTATTACATACTTAATCTACTGAAAAAAAAATTGTCTGAACTCTTCAATGTCTTGAGCATCTGGCATCGACCAGCAGAGATTTTGTGATTCCTGGACATGGATCACCACCAAAAATATGTTTGGAAAGGTTTATATTGCAGTCCTCCCTTCCTAGGCAAGCCTGAGAAAGTATGTTAATGTTAGGACACTATATCAGGCACGAATATTAAAAAAATCTAGTTGGGTTCATGTAGTTCAAGTTTTAAGCAGCAGAATGAAGCATACCTTCTCTATGATAGCTCTAGAATTTGGTGAGTGGCAGTTGCCAATTGTATAACTTTTGCAATCACCCAAAGGCGTTCCAAAGCTTGCAAATAGTATTTGGGAAATTTTCTGGTTTTGAGGACAGCTAATCTGAGCTGCAGATGCGTGCGATTCAGAAACATAATGGCACACTTTGGTGATTGAAACCGTGTTTACTGTAATCCCAGTGGGGTATCCCATTTCTTCTTCCAGCAATACTAAAAGGTTCCCTGTTCGTTTCAAGAAAGACCGAGGGATGTGGTACCTGTAATGTTAGTTGAGGCATTAACAAGTGATTCTGGCAAAAGTCTAAAACCAGGACCATGGATGAATATGCAATAGGGAAGGTGTAAAAGCAAATATAGTTGCAGAAAGGTAATGACTGAATAGCAACAAACCTAGTTTGTGAAGGACGTGCTTTGGGTGTATGAAACGACATCCAGTATCTGCCTATTCCCTGCCCATTAACCCAAGCTTGACCTTTCCCCATGGAGCCTAGGTTCAAGACAACTGGATCGCTGCCTTCTGGTGCATCGAAACTTGTCTGCCAAATGCCATCACATATTTGAGAAGTTAATTTCTAAAATTCCAGAAGTGCTTCTCTGCTATAGTCAAGCTGACAGCAAAAGCTTACACTAGATTACTATTTTCTTGTGTAAATCCTTCAATAAATAAATAAAACATCTACTATTACAGTTGAGCTAGCTAATATACTTTTATACCTTGTACCATGTAAGTGGGCGGCGAGAGGAACTCCCAAACTTTTTCCATTGAATTCTATTTAGGCCGTTGTCTGTGTAGATCTCTAGCTTCTCTCCTAGCAAACCAACCTTTGTCGAAGTTTCTAAGAGGGTCAACACAGTTGCACAAACTTGAAAAAGAATCGATAACAATGTAAAAATATAGGATAATAAGTTCTTCCACCCTAGTTCTGTAAAGTTATGAAGTTGCAAAAAGCGAACTGAGCATCTTATAACGTTTCCCATGTAGGCAAAGGAAAGGCCAGAAATACCTGATACCCCCATAGGTAGTTGGTGAAATCATTGTGTTGAATGCTGACTTTACGTATCCCAGCAACTTTACGCTCAAGAAATGCTCCTGAATCCTATATAACAGATGAATTGACATGTTTGTGTTGATCAGTAATAGAAAGACAACATACCATATTGCTTGAGCTGTGTGAAGAAAAGTAGAGAGATTGCTATTACCGGAAATCCAACCGTTGCACTAAGTAATGCAATGTTGTTTGGTCCTTTGTGTAGGATAACTGGTTTCTCGAGAGTGAAAGTTCTGTTCCCATGACTTCCATGAGCAGACCCTAAATGTTGACAGATTGAAACAGTAAGTGCTGTAACTTGTTAAGTCTTCCTGAATCCTGAATGCTGACACTAGGGAGATGCAGAATAGTATTGTTACCTTGATGCACACCATTGACGTATGCATACAACACATGTCCATGTGAGTGGACATTAAGCATGGATCGAGCATTTGATGTATTTAGTGAGGACCTGCATTTTTCTGTTCTATTGAGTACTTAAGCTTCGCTTCAAATTTTTCAAAAAAAAAAAACTGTCATTTTAACCATTAAATGCTGAGGTAACCTTGGCTTACCTGAATGTGTACCATAGATAATCAGAGGTGTCTTTTGTCATATTCAGGTGGTCCAACAATGTGTCTGCTCTAATAGAAGTATTGTCAAACTCAGGGATGGTTTCTTTATACTCTTTCCACTTATCAGTTGAGTTTAGCTTTTGGCTCAATATCATTGATCGTGTGTTACGTTGTACACGTAGCTGTCAAAAGTTGAAGCAAAAGAAAAGCTGAATGATTAGACGAAGAAATTAATCAAACAAACAGTAACCCATTTTGAAATGTTGCATGATGATGTCTGACATGAAAAAACTAAGATGTTTGACATGGAAAGGGTGAATCTTTTTAGGTTTATGTCTATCTCACCTTTGCTGTGTTAAAAGCCACAGACTTGCAGTCTGGTAAAATGCTTACTGACCATCGGGGCAGTATGTATGAAGTATTCTGGAACTTGACTCTGGCTGCATGTGTCCTGTTCCTGTTGACTAGAAAGGCGGTACATTCCTTTGACTTCCCTTGAAACACATAAGCCTAAAAAGATTTGGCAGGGAAAGTGAGAGCTAGCACAAAGGAAGAAACAACAGACTTTTTCTGTCACATAGTTTAGGAGCTCTATGTTTTTCCTTACTTTCTGATGTTGTCCCAAAGAAAATGTTTGTTGCACCGCAGTAAGCAAAGTCTGGGAGCAGGATTTTATTGTGGCATGTAATTCCTTAAGATGACCCCATTTCGGCTGTCTGATTAAACCTAAACACCACCAGGCATAGAAGTTGATTTCTTTTTCTCATCTGAAAGGACCTTAGTAGTGATTTTGGTAGGTAAAGGGAACTTAGATACATACCGTATTCATCTATAGGTGCTTCATCATAGTAACTCGTCGTTACAAAAGCAGCAGCAGTTCTTCCAAAATTTGTTCCTCCATGGTACTACTAGCAGTCAATATTTTCATGTTAGGACTGAATTAGTTACAACTGTGAAGTGATTCTTTCCCAGTATAATCAAATGTAAAGTGTTTGACAAGTAAACATCGATAAGATATGAGATTTTCGTACCATGTAATAGTTTACATAACTTCCATTCTTGGCTATGAATAGGGCAACATGAAATGCGATATCTTGGGCTGATCTTTTTTTCGTTTCATTGCCGTATACTTGCAAGCTTCAGTGGAACAGAAGAAAAAAACGTTAGTTTGGATCAATGACCTGCTAGAGCTACATGTTTGAATGGTGAGATGGTAGAACAGCCCAAGAAAGCTGTACATTTGCATAGAACTTACAAACTTGTCCAGTTTTCGGTCCACACGGATGGCTTATTTGGGGAGTTAGGTCCTTTGAATGTCTGCCCACATCTATATCCATTGCATGTGTTAATCTGAAACAGAAGAGTTTCTCATTTTGTACTATAAATTCAGCATCATGCAATGAACATTGAATTATATTAGAAGCTGTACAATTTGTATATGCAGGACCTTGAATCAAGCAGGGGTAGCTTTCATCCAGAGTACATTCCGACAAAAAGGAATTGTTATGAAGAACTAACCACAGGATCAGGTGCATCATCTTGCTTGCACATAAGCCAGGGAACCCCAGTTTGAAGTCGAACTGCCATGGCTGCAGCCCAACGAACATACGAAGGTCCCTTGTCACCGAAATCCGATTCAATCGTCTGGTACTCGTTCTCAATCTGTGATAGTATGATGGGGCCGCCTTGTGAAGCGTACAGATTCTCCGATTTCATCATGCTGACTATTTTCGCCGCGAACTTTTGCATGTGATCCTACGAGGACGATCCATATGCACGAATGATGGTGTTGTTTGTTTCATTGTTTGGTTTTAGCAGAGTGTACGTTTGTGAGCTACAGCTAACCTTGAATGGTTGGTTATCTGAACGGAAGACAATGCCGGGAACGTCGTGCAACCAAAAGGGCAGTCCCCTGCATAAATTTTGTTGGAAGCAAATGAGTCGATCGTCGAACTGTGATTTTAAAATCATCCCTAGGAAAAATGCATAACCTTACCCATAAGTCCATTCGGATTCGATGAAAGGCCCGATTCGAAGTGTGACGTAGAGTCCCTGAGCGTGGATTTCCTTGATGAATCTCACTATGTCTGCTCTTCCACTGAAATCGAACTGTTGTCCATGGAAAGAAAGAAAGGAAGAAAACAGAGTGCAGACAGAGTATGAGCAACAAGGTGAAGGAGCAAGTTCCAGAATACGTGAGTGACTGACTCACTGACCTGTCCTTGTCGAGGTTCATGCAAGTTCCAAAATACGTAAGTTTGTATAACATCCAACCCTCCTTCTTTTGCCTTTGAGATCAACGATGGCCACATCTGACACGTTTTATGGATTATTAAGTAATCAATATGATTAAAATTTTAATATTATTTTATTGGTTTAATTTGTCTAGAACTTGACTGATTTCCTCTTTTTGATCCTTTTGTCCTCAAGTTACAAATAAATAAATGTTAACAAGTTGCTTAACTACCCGAAACGTCTGGTTATGGAGTATTTATCATTATTGTTATTACTAACAAATTAAGGGAAAGTACGTTGCACTAATTAGTTTTACGTACGTACGTCTGCTTTCTTCGTGTTCATATAAAGACAAGAAACGGCAGAAAGGAGGAGAGCTAGAAGGTTAACTCCGGCAGGAGAGACAGATCAAACAACTTTTTTTTCTTCTAACGGTGATTACTTCATCGCTGTCAACCACCATGATCGGATCAGTGCTATGTATACCACTTTGGTTTTCGTCACCTCAGAGACAAATCGGGTCTGATATCATGTTATAAAACAAACTGGTTTACAAGCGGATTTGAAAGAAATGTGTTGTAGTAGTAGTAGTGAAGTGCTAATTACCTGAGGAGTGCTGCGAGGGTAATGGATGGAGCCGGAGAAAAGGATGCGATGCTGGCCGTTGATTGTTACAGACCTTCCATCATAACTCACTCCGCCACCATTCTTCGCCGGAATAGCAGCTGAAGTATAGTTGGCAGAATTGCGCATGTCTGCTGGATGATGATGTACTCCGACGTCGTCGACGGCCACGTCCACCACCGCCCCTATCCCGATCATCATCGCCGCCGCCATCACCACCATTCCTACTATCACCCCCGCCGTCGCCATTCTCTCCCAACTTCCCTCTTTCCTTTTCCTTAGAGAGTGAGAGAGAGAGAGGAAGCTAAGAGGGAGAGGCGTTCACCCTCCAAACGAATGAATGAAGAAAACAACAGAGAAAGAAGAGAGCTCTCTAATCCTAACCAACCTACTTAAGTAACTAATTATCCCACTCTTCCTTTTGTTTAATCTTAATTGTTACTATAACACTCAAACAAACCTGTTTTTATTACCGGGCGATGCGAGTATTTGTTCTTATTGTCCCCGCGCGCGTTTATTCCCGTCCACCCTTCCTTCCTTTCTTGGTTTCTCATTTATTTGATTAATTTCTGTTAACTACTCCCCCTGGTTGCCAATAAACATGTACAGTTTTAATTAATTGGGTGTCTAATTACAAAATGTTATTAGCTGTTAATTACTCCTCCAATTTCCGAACGCTAGCTAGCTAGCTAGCTAGAAGTCAAATTTCGGGGCCTCTTCCAGACGGCAAAAGCTCCTTTTTTGAAGATCAGTGAAGGGGGGAAAACGTCTGTCAGTTCATGAAACAAGGGAAATAAAAGAGAAAACGATAAACCATGCCATGACATCGGCTGTAACAAACTCATCACTTCAATTAATAAAAACAACGCCCTTGCCATTTCCCAAGGCAAGGAACGAAGGAGACAAAAGAATTAGGAGGGTCCATTTACGGCGCATATTATCGCTCCGCACGGCACGTCGGCGTCCGTTACGAGACCAAACTAGTGTGTAGGCTGTAGCCGTGCCGAATTCCCGCTCCCAACAGCGCCAACCGCCAAGGGGTATGCTACGTTTCGGTTGGGTGCGGAACGGATCAAACTAATGAAAATCGGGGTTCAATAATAAAAAAAAATTGTTATGAGACAATCCAAGTACCACATCGGTAATACAAAGGAATGAACCATTGTATATTAGCGTCCACCTGCCAAATTAGTACGAGGCCTTTTGGGAAGGACACCCAAGAGTAAAAACCGTGAGGGCATGGCCCAAAACGGACAATATCGTACTAATTGAGCACCCCGGTTTGACAAGTGGTATCAGAGTCTGGTTCTGTTCGGGGATGGACGTCAGTTTGGTGGGACCCTCATTTGGTGGCCTCGGGATTTGCGATCCACGTCTGTTTGGCGGATCTGAACTGAGAAACCCATCGATACAAGGTGTCTGGCGGATCAAGATAATCGCTGAGGTGAGGACCTTGTCTTGAGGGGTGGATTGTTATGGGACAATCCAAGTACCACATCGATAATACAAGGGAATGAACCATTGTATGTTAGTGTCCACCTGCCAAATTAGTACGAGGCCTTTTGGGGAGGACACCCAAGAGTAAAACCGTGAGGGCATGGCCCAAAACGGACAATATCGTACTAATTGAGCACCCCGGTTTGACAAGTGGTATCAGAGTCTGGTTCGGTTCGGGGCGGTGGACGTCAGTTTGGTGGGACCCTCATTTGGTGGCCTCGGGATTTGCGATCCACGTCTGTTTGGCGGATTTGAACTGAGAAACCCATCGATACAAGGTGTCTGGCGGATCAAGATAATCGCTGAGGTGAGGACCTTGTCTTGAGGGGTGGATTGTTATGGGCCAATCCAAGTACCACATCGATAATACAAGGGAATGAACCATTGTATGTTAGTGTCCACCTGCCAAATTAGTACGAGGCCTTTTGGGGAGGACACCCAAGAGTAAAACCGTGCGGGCTTGGCCCAAAGCGGACAATATCGTACTAATTGAGCAGACCCTGTTATGACAAAAATATTTTAAAATTTAAGAATCGGACCAACAGTACATTTGATCCGGTTCAAAATGTCATTTTCGCTCTATTTTTTCGTATTTTTAAAATTTATGAGACCAAAAATTTTGTTATATTATATTCGGTTAGCCATTGATCCGATCCAATCGTCGATTTGGTTCGATACGGACCAAATGTTGCACACCCCCTGCCAGCACCCAAATGCAAGCTACCTCCACTCTCACTCCACATCAGATTTTGTACTTAGTACTTACTTGATTGGTCCTTCATTCTTAATTACTATCAACTCTGTTTGACATGATATTTTTCTTTTCACGAGAGATAAGGGGAGAAAAATTAGAAGACAAAAAAACTCTGGTCCCATAAACCCTCACAAACAACAATATGCTGGTACACTCTCTACTTTAAGTAAGACA